GCTTGGGGTGGTTCGTTTGAAGGTTTTGGACGTCGGGATCGTGAGTTACAAGTTTGGCAGGAGTTGGTGGTGTTTTCCCGGCAAGATTCCGTGGGTTTTAGTGCTTGAAAGTGGTATGGATTTGTTCCTCTTGTTGTAAGTTTCATTTTGGTACCAATTTTGTGAAATTTGGTTGAAAAACGAAGAAAATACAAGGTTTTAAAGTTTTCCCGGTTTTCCGGCGCCGGAGTTTGGCCGGAGAAGATGACGGAATATTCCTAACGGCGTTAACGGCATCAGTTAGATTTAACGGAATATTCCTGACGGCGTTAATTGACGCTGTCAGTGTGCCAGGCACGTACCTGCGTGTGGGTGGCACGTACGGCGTAGGAAAATTTTTCTAAAAATATGGAGATGTTCCTGAGATTGAGTAGATCACGTTGGTGTATTTATACACCATATTTGAGTATTGTATGAGAAATTATTTCGTGATGTTGATTATGTGCTTTAAAATTAACATTTTTATAGTTGTTTCGCATATAGGTGAGATCTATCCTGAGGACGAGCACAGTCACTCGAGGCAAGGGGGTTACGACCCTTCTACATACCAGTGAGTGGGCTTTTGGTTTTTCGTATATACATATATATTTATGTTTTTCCCAGAAAGTGAATGGAAACGTTTATACAATTATAGGCCATGCATTATGTTTGCCGTTTGTTTATGCATTATTAATAGCATATATATAATTGTATGTTGGTGCTGCGGACGCACAGGTAAGTGCCAGGTGAGTATGGTTTATGCTTATATTCAGTAGTGGTTTGAGATGCATAGAGAGCTCATAACCTGCACCCCGGTGTTAGTGCTCCCGCCTAGAGTTGGGCATAGTCCTTCACATGATGTTCACCTACCGCACCACACGCTCATCTTGGATCTAAGTTAGATGCATAGTCCTGTCGTACAGACTACTTTAGGTGGTTCCGACTTGTAAGTAACCCGCGATTATTCACCCAGCCTGAGTCAGCCGTATAGGTCACGTTAGGTGACTCCGGCTGACAGATTACATGGCATTGATTTGACATTTCCTGAGCACTTGCATTTTATTTAGAGGCATTTGACATGGCATATTTCCGAGCATGATTTACATATATGTATATTATATTTTCTGGGAAGTATACAAGTTTTACGGCGAGGGGTTAGAACTTTGTTTATGAAATGGTTTTTGAAAAGTTTTGTTTTTGCCCACTCACGCTTTTTGTTTTGCACCCTTTCAGGTTCTAGTTGGCTAGCACTTGCGGTGGCTCCCTAGAGGATTTTCCCGGCATATCTGACAGATTATCAACAGTGTAGGACCACCTTTGGGGTGTGTTTTTGTAGTATTGTTTCTCCCGGACTACATTAGGTCTTTGTGCTCTGAACTTTGTTTTCACGCTTACGCTTGCTCATCTATATTCTTACTTTGTGTATAGCTGGTTTTTATTTATTCATACTTTTATTATTTATTTTAGTAGCTTCCACGTGACGGCCAGCATGCCCTGATCTCCGTCGGGATGTGTCATAAAATCTCTCTCTCTAGTACAAATGAAACAAGAATATTAATTTAAGGAACAAGATCCTTGTCGGATCCTCTTTGTGGGGATCAGAGGGATCAAACAATCACGGCCATTCATCTTATATCATGCAGTCAGAAATCATTTTAAATTCAAAATTTAAAATTGAATATAAATAGTATCTAACGAAAATTAATCTCAGAATATATGATGAATGGCCGTGATTGCTTGATCCCTCAGATCCCCACAAAGAGGATCCGACAATGATCCTTTTCCCTAATTTAACAAAATAAACTTGTGGTTCATAATATGCAAAGTGTTCTTCCTTTACAGCCAGGGATCCTCTGGATCTCTTCCACCTAATTCTCCTCATCAAACAATCCGGACCCTTGAAATTTAATTCAATAGCTAAAAACACAGGCCTACTTTAAAAGTTATAATAACTTTAGCAGTTTGATCAAATTTTAAAACTCGGATTATTTGATGAGAATAATTAGATGGAAGGAATTCGAGGTTGATCACTTTCCATCAAGGAATACTCATAAACCTGACAAAATACAAGGAGCCATTGCTGCCGCCACAATCACTCATTGACTTTCTATAACATTTCTAAATAAAGTAATGTGTACGGCTCCCTTAAAATAATAATAATACCACTTTTTTATTCTCAAGAAAATAAATTACGTGAAATCGCTTTTTTTTTTTTTCAAAGTTTTAACGAAAAGTTCGGTATTGTTTAATTCAACAAAAAAAAAATATTTTTATACTAAAAAGTTATATTTGGTGCTATTTATTTTACTCTTTATTTTATCTTTATCGTTGAAATTCAAAATTTTTAAATATTTTTCATTAATTTTTCTTTTTTTTTTTTCTGCAATAAAAAATTAAAAACACAAATCTGATGTATTAGGTATTCGCACTCTGCCCACATCATTGGCCCTTTATTAATCTTATATTAAAAAAAAACCAAAACTAGCAACATAGAAGCCAGCATATTGGCTCACCTTGTAAAAAATTATATTTTTACACTAAACAGTCACATTTGGTACTATTTATTTTACTCTTTATTTTGTTCTTATTGTTAAAACTCAAAATTTTCAAACATTTTTCATTAATTTTCCTTTCTTTTTTTTGCAATAAAAAATTAAGAACACAAATCTGATGTATTAGGTATTCGCACTCTGCCCACATCATTGGCCCTTTATTAATCTTATATTAAAAAAAACCAAAACTAGCAACATAGAAGCCAGCATATTGGCTCAACCTGTAAAGTATAAGACTTTTTCTTTCTCTCTTTTGGAATTGGTTGTAAAGTAGAAGATGATCTTCAAGATATTAGTATATTTTGATCTCTAACGGTCATGAATTGTGACAGGCCGTATCATGACAAATAAGGTGGGTTTAATATATAATTAATCATCTTTAACTAAAAACTAATGAAAGTTTGTCGTGTCGTCGATGACAAAAACTTGTGTGACTTGTTAATGAATATGATAATACTGAGTGACACAATAGTTAAATTAAGAGATCAAATATGTGTAAGATATGTACAAGAGTTTTCTATTAGGTGAGGTAAAGTATTAATTTACAGGAATATTTATCCTACTAGGTCATGGATCTTGAGGTGCGAAACGAATGAGGATCTTGGAGATCCTCAAATCGTGTCTATTCATCGTACATTAGGTGGTCAGTTTTCGTCAGATACTATTCATATTTAATTTTAAATAAAAATATTTAAAATGATTTATGACAGCACGATGTACGATGAACAAACACGATTTGAGGATTCGTGCGAAACATATGTACTAGGGTTTTCTATGTGGGGAGGAAATCTAATACTCTCTTATAAATACAAGGCTTAGGGAGTGGGGTAGCAAACAAATAAGGGAAATTTTGAAATAGGTCCAATTTTATAGGCCACCTTTTGAAATAGGTCTAATTTTTAGTGACTTTTGACTTTCGAAATAGGTTCAATTTTTAGTTACTTTGGACCCATATCAAAAGACCCTAAATATAAGGCTTAGGTCTCCACTCTCATACACAATACTCCCCATATAGAAGTGCATAAGGCGTGTGGAAAGAGGAAGATCTTTGATGCTTGTTTGCTCCTTAGTGGTTTAACTTTGTTAATGTCAATTGCCTATTGAGACAGAGAACCAAAATTCGATATTTTTTAATCCTTGCATAGAAAAATAATTCAAATTTTTTTAACGACATGTGAGTTATCCTATTTTTTAAGTTGTTTCCAAAATATATTAAAAATGCTTAAATGTCAAAATGGTCCTTGTGTTATGGCTATTTGGCCAAATTAGTCTTCGTATTTATCTCCATTAACCAATTAAGAACATTTTATCCAATCTTTGTCAAAAGATTTATAACCTATTATAGAAAAATATTTTCAATTATATAAAAAGAAATATAAATTTCAAAATGAAAACAAAATTAAACAAACCCACCCTACCATCCACTTGTCCTTGACCCAAGCCTCAACCTAGCCACATATGCAAGCAACTCGACAAATGCGTCTCTAGATCCACCTCGACCCCACATGTCACCACGCAAGTTCCATCATTGTGGTCCCAAAAAAATTAACCCTTATCACCTCGCCTCCGATTGTGTAATCGAGAAACAGACCACAATTGAGAGAGTCATATATTATCGTTTTCTTTATTTAAATTAAAATTTACAGAAAAATGCAAATTAAATGAGAAATAAAGATACAAGAGATAAAACTTCCGGTATGAAAAATTATTAAGGTTGTAACATAGAAAAGTGGGGAGGGGTGCATGAAATTTGGTAGAGGACAAAACGTTAGGAAGGAGGTCAGGGAGTTGGCAGGAAAGTAATTTTATCTTTAATTTTATTTGATTTTAAATATTTTGAATCAAGTAGATAATTTTATCAATAAGTTTATAATAATTTATAAATTTATTAATAGAGTTTGAATGGAATATTCTTGATTAGTAATCACAAAACGATGACTAAATTGGCCAAATTAAAAACACAAGGACTAAATTGACCAAATGACTAGAACACATGAACCATTTCGATATATATATATATATATGTGTGTGTGTGTGTGTGTGTGTGTGTGTGTGTGTGTGTATTTGTTTTTTTTTTAACAAACGATATTATCTATACCAAAGGGGTGAGGGTAGTGTGTTAAGCCTCACAATGAGCCAGCCATAATAATGTGGTTCAAATTCGCCTTTTGACGAGAATCAAATATAAGATCTCTCACTTATAAGTGAAAAAGAATACACAGACCGTAATCCTAAGTAACAAACTATTTTGACATTAAAACCTAAATAGTAAACTTTGCGGTTGACCTTATACGCAAAAAATAAATTATAATGCTAGATTGTGGTATGCACAAATACATATACATTATTAGTTTCCATCCAACGCATGCGCATGTTGAAAATTGATTGAAGGGTGAGGGTAGCATGAAAACACAATAAGCCCAATGAATAAGACTTTTCGAAAATGGGTAATCGCATTCCCAGTCATTCTATCAAACGCACAACCGGAAATGAAACTGCCGCCATAATTCATTAATATCAACAACGGACGGCCTTTCAAATAGTGTACTGGTAAGAACATAACAACTACAGCAGTTGGGAGTTGGAAGACGTTAACATCTCCTATCCCACACAATGTAAAGCTGAGATGAAAGAATACCAAATCAAAGCTTAAGCGGCTCGTTCCAGCATACTGCAACTGAATTGGCCACCTGACAGATGCAGCTTCTCCGCTTTTGTAACCGCATCTAGAGGAAGAGGAATGAAACTTCGAGATGGACCATAGAAATGAGGGAAGCTATTGGAACCGTCAACAACTTCATATACTAACCCTTCACCTAGCTGCGATAACACAATTAGAGAAATTATCTAAATACTGAGATAAGACAAAAAAGAAAACAATGCCAACAAACTTCGAGTGTGATCTTCATGCTGATAAATGTACAAACAAATGGAAAGAATGGCTCAATACACATGGCTGTTCAATAAGAAACTAAGAAAATGTGGGTGGTGGAGGTCATTCAGTAATAAATAGGACTGTAGGATGGGGAAAGATTGAGGGGTTTCTCATTCAGTCTAGGTTTCTAACTTTCTTTTCGTTTAGTCTTTGTTATACTTTAGGGAGCTATATGTGCCACAAGCTCAGCTAGCAAAACATTGATTTTCGGAAGGTAGATTCAAGTCCTGCCATCTCTTTGGTTAACAAAAGTCGCCAGAATCCCACCTTGCTAGTGCAAGGAGCTCATGAGCAAGACAGACTGAGAGATCATTCCAAGGCGTAAGTGCAGGAAGGAAAATCTTATAGATTCATCACCAGCTACCTTCTGGCCTAATGATATTTGTTTCAAAATGTTTCAGGGTAAATTTACCATGTCTTGTTCCTCTATGTAAACTAAACATAGTATAAAAAAGTCTGTTCTAATCAACAACGCCTCCACGCAACTCTGAAGAAGTTAGTATCTGAAATCCATGCTTCTTTCGACTCCCTTAATCCAGTAGTGCATATTTACCTTCATACGCTTCCTCTCTTTTAATCCGCAGAATAGTGGTATCTGTTTTTAACTTCTCATTTCAGAAGTAGGCAGAAACATGGGGCAGGTGCAGTTGCAACATTAGGTCTCCGTATAACATATAGAAAGTATTGTAATATATTAGTTAACTTCAATGTGCAGTAAACCAATTAGTCAATTACTTATGTCAATCAGAGTCTTCTGAATGTTGTGTAGTCATCTAAGCTTTGAATTGTGAAATTCAGTTGCCAGCATTTTATGCTATGAACAGATTCTTAAAGCATATGCTCAGCTGGCCTGGAGACGAATGGGATTAAGATGTTCCTACGAGATCCTAGCTCCTCAGTTGTTTGAAAATAGTTTTTTCTCAACAAATATATAGCTCATTTTGATCTTTAATAGTGCATTTGGACGAGTGGTTTTAAAGTTACATGGAACTTTAGACTCGATTATTAAAAATGCACCACAAAAAGGTTACCAATAAACTAGTACAAAGCTACCACTAAAAAACCACAAATGCACTAAAAAGACACTAGACGAATGACTTTCAAGGTGTTATTTGGAAGTTTTCCCCGTATCCAATTTTTGTAGTGCGTGCCTATCAAATTTAGCCAAAGTTGCATAAAATTTTAAACTCCCTCGTCCAAAATAACCATAGAATTTGAAGTTAGAGTAAAACCTAAATATGGATGTTCATATCTACGTACCTTATTAGTGTCAATTTGAAGCAAGTAAAGATCCACCTTAGTATTCACGAAAAAATTTTGCAATGTCGACTTTACCTGAAAAAAATTGAACCATTTTATGGCATCAATAAATCAATGAACGTAATTAATCACCCATAATTTTGTTTTACTTTTATTACGAGTAATATTTCTAGTTTAAGTTAGACTAAAAGGAAGTGGAGAGTTTGAACCGCGACGCACTGCGTTGAGCTCTGTCCACCAGGGCAACTCATTTGCCACCCAGAATTTCTTTCAGTTGGACCGTGTCTAAGCTTTAATCGATGCAAAGGGTAAATATAATCAAATTCGCAACTGGGTGGGATACATATACATATACATGTACATATATATACATGTATTTGAAGAGAGATAGAGAGAGAACCCAGAATTTATTATGTACACATTTCTCCCTTCCCTTCACCTCCACCTCCACCTCCATCTCCACCTGCAGCCATTGCACTGGAGATCGAAAGTCTTCCACCTCCACCTCCACCTGCAGCCATTGCTCTGGAGATCGAAAGTCTTCCACCATCTGCATATCTAATGCAACTGGACCCGGTTGGGCTTTGACGGGCTTTTAAGGCGAGAGAAAGCCCATTTTCTTTTCCAACACCAAGAGTCCAAGCCCAAGCTGAATTGCATGAAGAATCTTCCACGCGTCGTTTTCAAAGCTATTTCACTGCCTCGGCAGTGAGTAGACTCGGTACCCAAACTGGGTTCTCTATCAATGAAGCTTTTGGTCTGCTTTTTACATAACAGTTGACAAACATGGCTACAATGGCGAGTGCAGGCCTGCTTAGCCCCCTCCATTGCCACCTCAACGAGCTTCGGCTTTTGGGTTCGAGCTCCATCCGCACCAAGCTCGCAGAATTTCGGCTCTGTCAGCCCATTATCGCTCTAAAGCACGCAAGAAATGCGTCCATTGTTCCGGTCGTACGAGCGCAGAGTTCTTCTGGTTCGTCTTCTTCCCATTTTCTGCAAGAATGGTTCATGGGTTTTGAATGTTATTGTATATTCCATTCAAATTATGATTTGGGTGTCTCGGATTTTAAATTTTAAATTTTAAATTTTGGCATGGCTTCTGACTCCATATTGTTGGTTGCTCGTAGGTTATGTCCCAGACTCCAAATTTTACAAAGTCGAAGCGATTCTGAGGTGCGGAAACAATTCACTCATCTGTTTGTATATACATTGTTGTTGGTTCTTAATTTTGTTTAGGTTGATTGTTTAGAGCTCTTGATGTCTGCTGTGCTGTTTTCTTCTATTACTTTTGTGTGTGGAATACATGAGGTTATGGGTTTTAATTACATCTAATTATTTCTTAATCTTTGCTATGATTATGGGACGAGCTAGGCCCTGGCGAGTTTCGCACGTTTCTTCGGTAAGAATTGTTGAACCTGCTTACTGCATATTAATTGGCATTGCATTTTGCATTGTCATAATAAAATTAGGGAAGCAACAAATTGATTTTTCAAATTTTGTTGATTGGATAGTAGGAAGAATAGCTCTGTGTTTCTAAGCCTGTGTAGTTATCTAAGCACCATCCCATCTTCTTCTGCAGTTGCCTTTAATCCTTTTTACACACTCAAATCCATTTGCATATATCGAACACATAGTCACGACTGATTTGGATTGGAGCTCAAACACGATCAACATTGAAGGTTAATGAAATTCTAATCTAGAGTGCCATTTATGTCACTGGACCTAAATTTTGATTGCGGTGTGGCCTGTAGTGACATGTCAAAAGATCAATTAGTAGTTGTTAGTTGTACCGCTATACAATTCATTTCCGGAATTTAATGAAAATTATTTGTGACTGCCTCACTTAGTACCTATCAGTAACTTGTTGGCCAAGTTTCTGACTGCTCTCTGTATGCATTGCCTTGATCATAGTCAAAGCAAGATAGCTTCTGTCTTTTAATAATACTCATGCTATTCTCGGAATTTTTGCCACTTCTCTCCTTTCAATTCATTACATCCATGGACCATGAGGCCTCCGTTGGGGACTGGGATGCTATGCCAGTGGAATTGTCCGTGGTGCATTAAGTAACGTCATTTGCTTACTAAAAGAAATGTAAAAGCAAAATGACCACTAGAATTTGAAGAATTAAGATGTTTCATGTGGTTCATATTTCATGAACTTATTGTATGAAGAAAATAGGGTTATAGTCCATAGTAGGGTAAGAATTGTACCTGATTTTATCCTTTCTTTTAGGTTGCACGTTTTCACATGTTTACTAATGTACAGAATTGTTGTTAGCTCCTTGAGATAATAGCATAAGCATTACTTTGGGTTTCTGGAGTCTACAATCTTTTCCTCTGTCATCTTTAAGAGCTCCTTGAGATAATAGCATAAGCACTAATCTTTTGGTCCCCATCCTTTGTGAAATCGAAGGCTCTGCTGAAAATTGGAATTCGTGGTGTTACTGTATCTGATGTTCGAGGCTTTGGTGCTCAAGGTGGTTCAACAGAGAGGCAGGGTGGTATGTTCTTGCTTTGGCATGGATATTTTCTCTTCATTTTAATTAAATCTAGCAGATGTTTTGGAAACACTCCCTACCCATTATATCTACTGGTACTTATTTATCATATCATCCTACTCTTTTCTTATATTATCCTTCATAATTTCTTCCTTTTTTATTACTTTGTTAGGCTCTGAATTTTCTGAAGACAATTTTGTTGCTAAGATTAAAATGGAGATTGTAGTGAGCAAAGACCAGGTATGAAGAGTCTGATTGATAATTTTAGTTCTATAATGCATTCTTTTTGAGATATTGATGCTCAGGGAAAAGGGGTTGAAAATCCCCAATTGAATCCTGCTCTCATCACTTCATAGGTTGAGGCTGTGGTTGACACAATAATTGAGGCAGCCAGGACTGGAGAAATCGGCGATGGCAAGATTTTTGGTTTGTCTCTAAACTTGTTCATTTTGAAACTACAAAGATACAGTCTACAGTTAGCACCTAAGCAGGTTAAACTAAAATTTTAATTAATAATTATTTCTTTGACATATATAATTATTAATTTGTGTTGAAAATGATGTACACTGAATTCAAACTATACTTTAACACCTATATAAGTTAGCTTATTTTCAGACAATTATGTCGGTATACAGAGTTGTTTGATGGATTCGCACCTTTCCATTTTGTCACCTATAGATGTTCTAAGAGATACACTACCCCTCCAGAATTAGGGAGGGTCATTAGTTTCCACTATATATCATGTTTGTGAAGTCAGATACTAAGGTCACATAAGAGTTGTAGTGAAGTTGTACTTTAAGGTCAGGTTGGTAGGACAAGTAGCTATTTTGGACAAGACTGATCATTTGCCAGAAATCTTTATACTCTGTATTTATGCAATGACTATGCTAGTTACATGTAAAACTTAAAACTCAAGGAATATATCATTTCTGGCCTCTCCAGTGAGGTTTCATCAAACTTTCTAATGAGGCTTTGTATCTTCTGCAGTGGTGCCAGTCTCAGATGTAATCAGAGTTCGCACTGGTAACATTTTACTCGCCAAATGATTTAAGTTTAAGATGATGTATCCAGTTGTTTGCGTGTCTCTTTGGATTGATGATTGCTCTCTAGAGTTCACCTAAATTTTTCTTCTTCTTGTATACGTCATTTTCAGGGGAGCGTGGAGAGAAGGCGGAGAAGATGACAGGAGGGCGGTCTGATGTGTCCTCCTCTGCCTGAGTGAGATTTGACGAAACTTGATGAGTGCGACTCTATTCAACCCCCCATCCAATCTCCCCCCCCCCCCCCCCCCCCCCACCCCCCTCTGTCCGTTAGATCTTAGAAGATTAGTGCTTCATTTTTTGGAGTGTATGCAGTGATGGAAGAGTAGAATAAGGTGTAATACCAGTCATGTAGCTTCTATCTTTTATCAGAAGGTAGAAAATAACCCGGCAGTTGTTTCCCCTCTTATTTATTAAATAAAAGTAGTGAACTTATTTAGCGATGAAGAAGAATTTCTTAACAAAAATATGTGGGTAACTTTGTCTCTGTCTTTGGAAGATGAATGCTATATAGTCTATGTAAGCTTGTTTTACTTGTCAGTCAATTAATTATGCAAATGTGCTTCTGGAAGGAAGCTAACAAACACAAATCTACGACCGGAGGAGGCCAAATGCCGATCTTCTTTTGAATATATCAAGCCTGATAACTACTGAAATCGGCACGCTTGCTTAGCCGTGCAATCTGCTCGTAAACGCCCAGCAGTAAGGTAAGAGTCTGCTCAAGGATTCCAGCAACAGCAATGTCAGAAGTTAAATTGTGGTTGACCTGCTAAAGGGGTTTAGCTTAGCCATTCAATGCACAAATATGGAGACGAATTGAGTGAGAGATGATGATAGAAATAAGAAAAAATTCTTCAAATTATTAGCTGTGATCTGTGTTATGCACAAAAATTGGAAGATGAGTGTTGCAATGTTCAACAATGTATAAAGAAAATCAGCTAGTGGTTTAGCTACGGCAGTTTATATTTAGGATGGTTTATTGTGCTACAAAATAAAAACAAGTTGAAAGCTACAAAGTTTTATTGTCGTTGTTGGACTAACAAAGTTAAACAAATGCAAAAGATAAACTAAACTGAACCAAATCGAATCAAACCGTTCAGAACTAAACCCGGTCGATCCAATCTAGAACATGTCTACCCCTATCTAATAAAAGTATTTATACTGATTTGATATCCTTCCTTCCTCCCCCATTGATAAATGATGGAGGTCATTAAGATAAAGCCTAGAATTGTTTGAAGGCTATCAACGAATCAAACGACAACAACCAACTTCTTTGAAAATTGTATTCTTCCTCTAATCAAAATTTTAAATATTAAAACGTAAATAAATAAAAATAAAAATTTGGTGCGGTTGGTGACGTCTCTCTCTCCTTCATTTGAGAAATTTTTAGTTGTGACGGAAACACGGATGGTATATCACATGTTTTTATGTAAATAGTGAAAAATTTTAAATTTTAAATTATTAACCTTTTAACACATATATCACATAATTTATATAAAGACAGATAATGTATCATTTTGTGTGACAATTACATTAAAAAATTTTGTCCTTCCGGTCCATCTATAAATGCAGAGACAGATCCTTCGTTCCACGTATAGCGTGAAATATAGCGTGGGTATCGGTATTGCTGCGAAGGACAGCCCTTCCCCTTCTTCTTAGAGACGCCCATACGCCTTAGAGAGAGAAACCACCGCAGATCTACTCTCTCTCTCTCTCTCTTCAAATTCTCCATCTTCCTGAGGTAACTCCAACTTTACCCTTCCTTCTTCTTGTTCTCGTCGGATCTGTACCCTCCATTGATTTTTACATTTTCGTTTTTTATGTGCCCACTTGCACGAATTTTCGCCATTTGATCCGATCTCCAATTTTCTAACTTTTTGTGTTCCGATCTCGAATTTTGCCCGAAATTGTGATGAAATTTACAAGATTTAGACCCTCATTATGAATGTGAATGCTGATTGATATATAGATATTTGAAATTTTGGGTTGGATTTTTTTATCAAATTTTGAAGGTTCGAAAATGGGGCTGTCATTCACGAAGCTGTTCAGCCGTCTGTTTGCGAAGAAGGAGATGCGCATTCTGATGGTGGGTCTCGATGCGGCTGGTAAGACCACCATTCTCTACAAGCTCAAGCTCGGCGAGATCGTCACCACCATTCCCACCATTGGTATGTCAATCACTTGCACAACCGATCTCCTCCTTGATCTTGATTCATCACTCGATATTGGTTGTTATTTATCGTTTTCCGTGGTATTAGTTGTTAATTGCTTTGAATCATGGTGAATTATGTGATTAGGATTCAATGTGGAGACTGTGGAATACAAGAACATCAGCTTTACTGTGTGGGATGTCGGGGGTCAGGACAAGGTATGGACTCTTTTTCTTTTTAACTTATTTAATTTTCCAAAAATGTTATCAGTTGCAATTGAGTACTGGTAAATTTTTGGTGAGAGTTGAATCCTGCATCTGATTTACATAGTTGAGTTTGCCTGATGAAAAACTAATTTGTGTAAAACCATAGCAACTCAGCAAGTTTGGTGCCATGGCCAACGTGAAATTTATCATCTCCGTGATTGTTTTGTGTAAATTATGGTTTTAACTATTGATAGAATCTTGGAGGTCAATTGGTTCCCAATCCTAGCCTTCCTTTATAATCGACTAGTTAACGAGCCCACTCAACTCAAACCCTTTGTCTTCCATCGCACAAGTTCATCAGTTAAACATCGATGGGGTCAGGACATGCTATTATTTTTTGGGATTGTTTCTCCGTTGGACTGTTATATATTTTTTGGGCATACATGTTCTCCCTGATTTTTCTCTTTCGGAATAATGCCCAACTAAATTACTTGTTCCTGAGGATTGTTTTGTTGATGAGTTGAGCGGAGAAATTATCCAATATGTGGTTTACAAGTCACATACTGTATTACTTCTACAGTTTACGTCATTTCTGATAATCAGTTAGGTGTTATTCTAGCTGCTGAATTTTCACTCTATTGTGTGTTGATATTTTTTATTGTCTTTCCAGATCCGACCATTGTGGAGGCATTACTTCCAGAACACACAAGGACTTATCTTTGTGGTTGATAGCAACGATCGTGACCGTGTGGTTGAAGCCAGAGATGAGCTTCACAGAATGTTGAATGAGGTATGCAACTTCTTATTCTAACTCTAAAGAGCGGGATGAAATATATAGCACGATGAAAACTTGTGCCACTTTAATTGCTACATATTCATTTCTCTTCTTTTCTTTCTCCTTTTCATTTTGATCATTAACCATTGCTTGTATTTGGCAGGATGAGTTGCGGGAGGCTGTGCTTCTTGTATTTGCAAACAAGCAAGATCTTCCAAATGCCATGAATGCTGCTGAAATAACTGATAAGCTTGGTCTTCACTCCCTCCGTCAACGCCACTGGTAAAACCGAATGTAGCCTTTCTCTCAAACTCGCTCACACACACACCCCTCCTTGAAACTAACTTTGTAAACTACCCTTTGCAGGTATATCCAGAGCACATGCGCCACTTCTGGTGAAGGACTGTACGAGGGTCTTGACTGGCTCTCAAACAATATTGCAAACAAGGTGGACTCATGCTCTCATACATTTTAAGTAACTCGATTGTTCATTATGGTTTCCGTTTCTGATTTTGGTTCTGATTTTGGTTTTCCGGTGTTACATTTTGCAGGCATAGATGGCTTGACTTGAATTTTGTGTAGCCGATTCTGCTGTAATATGAAGTTGACATTGATCGGTCCTTGGTATTCTGCATCTCTCTGCTCTTAAGTACCTGTTTTTACCATTTTTGTGTTTACTATTGCAAGCAGTTCCTTTTCTTCGACGTGTAGTTAAGAATAATTCATAAATTCTCAATTTTACGCCCGGTATTAGCATAATAGCTTTGTTTCCCCCCATTGTTTTGTGAAATGAAATAGCTGCTATCTATCTGTTTATATTTTCTCTCGCTTCATCCAAATTCAAATCAAATGGATTTGGGAAGTATTGTTTGGCCTCTGAAATTATCATCTGATTTGAAGTTATAACAAATCACAAATCCCTTACTATAATAATGTATGCAGGGGCGTTGCCCAAATGTTTATTCTTTATATTAGAAAGGGTCGAGTGATTGAAAAATAAACTTGTCATAATTCTAAAACTAATTCCCCTTGCTTAATTAGTGTAGCCTCAAGAGTAATATCGCTTGTAATAAAAAAGATCGTGATCATTTGGGTTTTACACGTATAGGATCATGCCTCCGGTCAGGTTTGTCTTCACAAAGACATCCGATGCATCAAATCATGGTAAGCAGACTGGTATATACTTGAATACGTTGCTTATCGACTGGATAAGGAGAAGGGTGGTGCTAGATGCCCCAAATTTAATGCACAAATTTGGTGTTCCTAGCATTATTCAGTTGAGAATATTTGGAATTCAAATATCTTAAATGTCTCGTACTAGGCCATCCACTGTCGATAGTGTGAGATTAGGGACACCGAAAAATTGTTTTACAAACCTTAATTTGAAAGTTTGGTGCAGTTGGTTAAGAACATACTCTCTCAAGAAATAGGTTTTATAAAGTTCGGTTCCCGGCAAAGGTAAATTTGAACCACGTTATTGCTAGCTCATTGTCAAGTTTAGCTTGCTCATTCTTTTAATGTAGATAATATCGATTTGTTAAAAAAAAAAAAAAAAAAAAAAAAAAACAAAAAGAGAAAAGCAAGTAGCACACATAAACCCAATACATATGGTTTAACGAAGCGTTTGCTACAGAGAAAAGAATACAGAGTGAACAAATTGATTTGTCCTACTAGTAAACATATACTTCATTAATTAACCATTTGCTCCTCCATGAAAGGATGATGGATTACATAAATGGCGTTTTCTCTCTCTTTCATACAAGATTATCAACACACCTCAAATCAAACCTGAGCAGGTTCATTTAACAAACCCAAAAATAAAATACAAAAACCAAAACCAAAAGCTGCTTTCATTATTCATTCCTCATTCCCCCGATCGATCGACCCCAACATGTATTGGACCCAAATTCCAATTAATCACCAATTAATCGGGAAAAAAAAGGGAATGAATTCATCTAAATATTTCCACTCCCTCGTCTACCCCGTAAATGGATGAACGGTCTTGATCGACTAAGCCACTGAGGGGGCTGTCACGCACTGGACCGCAGCTGCTTCCCACAGAGCCTCCATGAAAGGCTGCATGTTCACCCCTTCACCACCTGAAGCTGCTGCTGGACCCACAACTCCTCCTGCCGCTGCTCCTCGGCCAGCTGCCTTCTTGTAGTCCAACGACTCGTCGTTGTATCTATCCCACCATTTCTTCACCACCATCTTAATGTCCTCCCTCTGCATGTTCTCCTCCTTCCCCGTATACCTCCACGGCTTCGATCCCTGTAACAATCAACGTACGTATATTAATCAAACCCTACAGAAAATGTGACACCTCGTATATATGTTAAATTAAAATTAAGTAATACTTACTGCTGCACAATACTGAACGACTTTAACTTTGTCTAGCTCCACATTCTCCGGGTGACGCCACAGCATGGCCAGGACCAAATTGTAAACCAAAGGAATTGGCTTGTATATTTTCCGGAAATACATGTTTAACAAGTCCTGTTCTGCAAACGGGGTCGGAGGGGTCCCTCTGAGAGTCCTCAGAAGGTCATGGTAGGTCTCGAGGCTGGGCTCGTACACGAACATGCCCGCGTTGAAGTAGAGCGACGGCGGTGGGCCAAGCTCCGATGTGGGCCACTGGACCTTCTCCGGGCACTGCTGGCAGTACCCGATTTGGTATTGCGGCGTGTGACTCCACGTTTTCTCACAGAAACAATCCATCACGGCGTAGAAATGTCCATTTGGCAAGTCAAAGAGGTGGTCTATGTTATCGTACACCTGAATGTCCCCGTCCAAGTATATCATCTTCTCGTACTCCACAAACTACAATATTAATGAAATAAAAAAAAAAAATTCAGAAGTGTCGTATTCGATTCACCCTCATCGTAATTTAGATGAATTCGTACACATTATGTACAACTGAAATTTGTTACACATTTTTTTTTATGGAAAAACATGAGACAAAAGTTTTCTTCGGTTCCAAGACAAGGCTGCCACGTGTAAGACCCAGAACAACCCAAATTCTACGTGTAACAAAAAGAACGCATAAACGTTCGAAGCCACGTAAGCAAACTGAAAAGAACGTACCTCCCAAATCCGCAGCTTCGAGTAGTTGATGACGTAATAGGCCATGGCGAACTGGGTCTGGTTCTCGGGTGGGTAAACGGGTTCGATCTCACGGATGATGCAACCCTGCGGTTGAAGAATGCGGCGGTGATCCTCCGGGACGTCGGGCAAGACTGCAACGACCAATGGGTACGCTGCATTGACCTTCCTCAATCCCTTGGCCAACCCGACGACGCCCTTCACGTAGTCGCCGTTGCCGGCCAAGAAAGTCACGTACGCCCGACTCGGCAGGGTGGCGGGTTTAGTGAAACCCGATTGGGGGACGCTGGTGGGGACGAGATCGGGAGCCATGAGTGATGACGGTGTCCAAGGGAGAAGGGAATTAGTGTTTACAGAGGAAGGCCTTGACCCTTGGGAAGATAGAGAGAGAAACTAGCTGAGCCCGATGAGAGAGAGAGAGAGAGAGAGAAGGCAGAGATTGGGATGTCGTCGTTTGGTGGTGTTGTTGGTTGAGGGGATGGAGGGGGTGGAGGGGGTGGAGGAGGGTTTAAATAAGGGTGGGAATCAAAGAAATAAATTTGTGTGAGCGAAATTTGTGGAAAACTCGTCAAACCTTTAGGGGCGGTTATGTGGCTGATGCCGCACACGTGTCCATCTGGAGGGATCCTACGGTTACTGGGTGCAACGGGAAAGTTCTGGCATGGGATCCCTATTCCAAAAGGTTCTAAAAGTTCTGGCATCGGATCCCTATGCTACAGTTTAGTGATTTCTCTTCATTTAAAAGTGAAATGTTTTAGATTCGATTCTCGTTAAAGAAGAATTTGAACCAAATTATTGCTAACCTATTATAAGACTAAGACCACCTCCTCCCCTTTATCTTATATAATATCATTTATTAAAAAAAAAAAAAGTTCGATCACGTTGGAAAAATAAAAAACATTCCAACAATCAAGTTTGTGGTTGATATTGTAAAGTAGGTTTGCCATGTCATAAGTGCCATGAAATGAAATGCTAAGACGTGTCATGTGTGGCCGAAATCGTCACTCGTCAATCCTATTGAATTTTCATCTGAAGCTTGGATTCTTTTTTTCAAGGGTTTGCGAACAAATTACGAGCACCTCATACTCATACGTCGGAGGGAGTTGTAGTAGGTAAATTATACACATGCATGCATGCATGCAAGATCAAACAATAAAACTCAAAATATTACATACCACCATTGATCACTAGAAAGATTTGAAAAGACATTCTCTCACTAGAAGTCGGAAAAGGAACCCATCTGTCACAAACTTGAACTATGAGGGCCATCCGTGTTAGAGTTTGATTCAATGAGTGCTAATTGAAGAGAGAAAGGAAAATAACATAAAATAGAGATGAATATGGATGGTTCTCTCTCTGCAAAATCGCAGAGGGAATGTTCTTTTTTCTATTCCTTCTCATTCTCACACATTACACTGCATAACAGTTAGTTATGCATCTAGATTCCCACCATTATAATAGAAAATGATCTTAGCTACACATCTAGCTAAGTTCAAGGATCATTCCACATATCACTTAGACAAAATTACAATATGAGCCCTACACTCGGTAATTTTAACCAAAATGGATACACAACTAAATACAAGGCCTTATTTACTAAATTCAAATCAACTCAATACCTATACACTAACACTCCCTTTTAAGTTTTGAGCTGATATGACTCCAAGCTTATCTCTGAGGTAGTTGAACCTTTCCTTTGGTAAAGCTTTGGTCAAAATGTCTGCCACTTACTCTTTGGTACCTTCTATCAATGTGTTTTGTCCGCTAATGGAACATTGGATTCTTAGTTATTGAAATTGTAGATGTATTGTCACAATGCAAAGGAGTTGCTTCTGTTTGTAGCTCCCCAAAATCCTCCAAAACAAACCTAAACCATATGGCCTGAGCTATGGCTTCCAAAGCACTTATGTACTCAGCCTCTGCAGTGGAAAGAGCAACACGAGAACACTCCACTTCCAAAAGAAAAAGTATAGCCTAAGGTGCTCTTGCTGTCTTCAATTGATCCTCCTCAATCTCTATCACAAAATCCAACTAAGACTGCCTTCTTGCCTTTCACATACTCCAAATCATAATCTAATGTTCCTTTAACATATCTGAGCATTCTCTTGGATGTCCCATAGTGCTTATTTGTAAGGCAATGCATATATCTAGCTAGTAAGCTAGCTGCATACATCACATATGACCTTGTAGCAGTGAGATATAACAAACTTCCCACAATCTTCCTATATTGCTCTTCATTTGCTGCACCACTTCCATCATCCTTGCTTAGTTTTTCAGTAGCAACAAGAGGGGTAGAGACAGATTTGCACTCACTTAAGCCAAATTTATTCAACAAGGAAGAAGCATACTTCATTTGATGCATGAAAATGCTCGAATCTGTTTGAATCACTCACATTCCCAGGAAATGATGGAGAAGTCCCAAATCTATCATTTCATATTTCACCTTCATGCCTTCTTTGAATTCATCCAGCATCTCTTAATTGCTTCCAGTGTATACTATGTCATCCACATATATGGATACAATTAGTATATCTTTCTCTCCCCTTGTCTTAGTATAGAGAGTTGCTCCACTCAAGCTTTTCTCAAACCCACACTTAGCAAAATAGTTGTCAATCTCTCCATACTAAGCTCTAGGTGCCTGTTTAATCCATAAAGAGCCTTATGCAATCTATAGACCTTGTCTTCCTTGCCATTAATCACAAACCCCTCAGGTTGGTCATTAAAAAACGCAGATTTAACATCTAGTTGGTACAACTTCCAGCTTCTTTGTGCAGCAAGAGCAATTAAGGTTCTGATGGTATCCAGTCTAGCAACTGGAGCAATTGTTTCATTAGAATTGATTCCTAGTTTCTGCACATATCCCTTGGCAACCAATCTTGTCTTGCTCTTTTGCACTAAGCCATCCAAATTCAGCTTGGTTTTGAACACCCATTTAACTCCAATGACTTGAATTCTTCTCAATCGTTGACAATTATTTTTCCATTGCCTTTATCCAGAACTTATCTTGTGCAACTTCTTTATATTTCTCAGGCTCTACAATGCAAAGATTGCATTGAGCTAGAATATCACTTATATTTCTCTACTTCACTAGGGTATGATCATAAGGCTGTGAAATATATCAAGACTCATGAGTGACATTTTGTTCTTCAGTGCTTGAAAGAGTACTGGAACTAGAAGGGCTTTCTTCAACTTCACTCAATCTATGTGAACTCTCACCAATCACATTCTCAGGTTGATTTTGAATATAGCTCACAACAATAGAATTTTCTGAGTTTTCCAATTCTAGGACATGGTTTAATAAAAAACTACATCTCTTGACAAAATCAATTTCTTAGTGCATGGATCAAATACCTTGTACCCATTCTCACATGTTGCATACCCCACAAACACACATTTGACACTCTTTGCATCGAGCTTTTGTCTTATCTTAGTTGGTACATGCACATAACAGAGTGATCCAAACATTTTTTGATGGCAAATATCTGGTTTTCTATCACTATAGGCCTCAAATAGAGTTAGATTGCCAAGAGCTTTTGTAGGTGACCTATTAAAAATGTAAACAGTCTTATGCACAGCTTCTGCCCACAAGAAATATGGCATGCATTTATCATGAAGCATTGCCTTAGCCATATCTACAACTGTTTTATTTTTTCTCTCCACTACTCCATTTTGATGTGGAGTATATGCCATAGATAGCTGCCCTTGAATTCCTTCAATCTTTAAGAACCTGTCGAATTCAGTTGACACAAACTCACCCCCTATGTCGCTCCTTAGGCACTTCACTTTGAAAACCAAACTATAATTCCACCATTGCTTTAAACTTTTTGAAACAATTTAGGGCCTCATATTTGTGTCTTAGGAAATAAACCCATGACATCCTTATGCAATCATCAATAAGAAGCATAAAGTATTTGTTCCTAGCAATTGATTCATTTTGCATGGGACCATACAAGTCAGTGTGTATTAGCTCCAGTGGATCACTTGCTCTTTTGGGAACAATCTCGGTGTTGTTTTCCTAATTGACATCCTTCACATACACCATCAATATCTTCTAGATGTGGAAGACCATGCACCATATCATTTTCTCTAAGCTGCTTGAGACTCTTGAGATTGAGATGACCTAGCCTCTTATGCCAAGTCCATGTACAATGAGTGACACTTGTCTTTAATGCATCTAATCATTATACATTAAAGATAGAGGGTAGCATCTGTTCTATTTCATTCTTACTTTTATAACCAGACTATCAAGTGATGGTCCATCAAAAACACTGCACATTTTTCCTCCAAATAGCAAGTAATATCCATGCTTATCAATCTGACCAACACTTAGCAAGTTCTCTTTCAACCCAAGTAGGTACATCACTTCTTTGATATATTTCCTCCCCTTAGTTGTATCAATCACCAAAGATCCCATTCCTACCACATTGGCTAAATCACTAGTTGGCATTTGCACTTTTCCTGCCACATTGGTTCTTACATCAATAAGAAGATTGACATTTCCTGTCATGTGGTTGCTACATCCACTATCAATATACCAATTTCCATTCACCTTTGCTTCAACAATTGCACAATTAGCATAGAATAGGTTATCAGATAACTCCATTTGATTTGCACAATTAGCCTTTTGAATAGCCTTACCTATAGTGCACTCCCTAGCCCAATGTCCAAACTTATCACAGTTGTGACATTTGGACTTTCCCTTATATATGCACTCACCAAAATGAAACTTTGAGCATACTTTGCACTAAGGTTTTGTCACTTCTTGATTCATGGAGGATGAAGAATTTGCATTCTGTGCAAGACCCATAAATGGCTTTTGCAGAAACTTAGGCTTTGAATCCCACTTCTTACCTTTTGCATTCTAGTTTTTCTGAGACTTAAATCCACTAGATTGAGAATTACCCCTATTTTGCTGCCCTTTTGAACTCACAAACAAAGAGGAAAATGCCTTCTCAGTGGTATCCACAGTGTGCATATCAAAATGCTGTTTCTGGCTTTTCAAAATTGCCACAACCTCCTGTAATTCAATAGTCTCTATATATTTTGTGTTTTCAATCACAAGACAAATGGGATCATAAGGTTTGCTAAAACTGATTAAAACCTTTTGCACAAGTCTTTCATTCGATAATACCTCACCAAATGTCTTCATTTGATTAATCAGTTCATTCAAGCGAGTAAGGTACCCAGATAATGATTCATCATTACGCATTCTAGTTTACTCAAATTCACGTCGAAGATTTTGGAGTTTAACAGACTATACCCACCATGATATTCTCCATATAACAAATCCCATGCCATCTTTGCTAAATCTGCGTTGGCAATCCGGGGAAATATTTGATCGGAAACTACACTTTGTATAATACCCAGAGCTTTTGCATCTTGCATATACACAACACAGTTTTCTCATCGTCTTCCTCTTCTGAATTCCCTTCAACCTTCTTCTTCTTTGAATCTGAGGTCGTGACCATTTTCTCAACCAATTTCCATAGCCCATGAGATTTGAAGATCGTCACCATTTTGATTCTCCAGAACTCGTAATTTTCATCGGAGAAGATCGGAGTCTTCATTTCAGAACTTCTAGATCCAGCCATCTCCTAGCTTAGATGGTACGAAAACAACTAGAATTCGGTTTCTATGGAGTTTCAGCGACTTCACTTGAACCAGAACGAGCTTGAATGTAGCTTGATTGCTTCAACGTTGATAACGTCAGCTTCACAGTTCACGCCCATATCTCAATTGATCCAACCTGGTTCTGAGGCCATGTTAGAGTTTGATTCAGTGTGTGCTAATGGAAGAAAGAAAGGAAAATCACATAAAATGGAGATGAATATGGATGCTTCTCTTTCTGCAAAATCGCAGAGGGAATGTTCTTCTTTCTATTCATTCTCACTCTCACACATTACACTGCATAATGGTTAGTTATGCATCTGGATTCCCGCCATTACAATAGAAAATGATCTCAGCCACACATCTAGCTAAGTTCAAGGATCATTCCACATGTCACTTAGACAAAATTACAATATGAGCCCTACACTTGGTAATTTTAACCAAAGTGGATACACAACTAAATACAAGGCCTTATTTACTAAATTCAAATCAGCTCAATGCTTATACACTAACAATCCGCTCACATATCCTCCCTGTACCCAGTGAGCACCATGACACCTCACAGCCAACACTTAGTCTCTGAAACACCAAATAACAACACATCACTTGTCCTCCTTAATCAACCACATTTGATGAAATCAACCCTCAACACTGACATGCACAACATCAACATAAAACCTAGCCACTGAACTGGGCCAAGCAGAACTTTCTACTAACTCTTCGGGGAAGAGAGGCGCCCAGAAGATGAACTCCTTATTTTAGAAAAGCTAAAAATGAGAAAGGGATACGAGGGTAGAACCCCCAGGTCGAACTGGGCCAAGGAGTGAAATTCTCTCCCTTCTTATTTCTATCCCATTTCCTTCCTTTCTTTCACACTTTGTCTTTTATCTTTTGTCCTTATAAAAAATCTATATAAGATGTTGACGTGATTTAGTCATAATTTTAAAAGGACCAGGGTTTCATCTACCTTCTGAGTCCACGACACGTAGCCTCACACATGAACCTGGTACGATACAAAATGTATAACATGTGCATGGGAGAAATTCGTTAGTTGTGATGGTTCTTTTGGGCTGTTCGTTTTTGGGCTTGGGCATTATTGACCCCAAGAAAAGCAGAAGTACTTTAAAACGTTAGTTGCCAAGTTGCCACGGTGATTTTAATCTGATTGCCGTATTACGCACCCCCACAGATCCGAACTTACATTTCTCTGCTGCAGGCTGCACTGCACAATCACCTTCCTCACCTTCTCCTCCTCCTTCTCCTCCTCCTCCTCGTCATCTTCTACTTCTCCGTCGGTAAGAGGTTAGATCTCACGACCTTGATTGATTTTGTATTTTGGTAAATTTTGTGTAGAGTAATTGCTTTGCATTCCAAATCTGTGGTTTTCAAATGCTTTTGATCTGCTTCATTTTTCTTGCGTTTTGTCGGCGGAAATCGGTGTGGGAAGTTTAGGGTTCTACTGCATCGCTTGAGATTCTGGTGATTACGGTGTAGATCTTAGGTTGATCATTTTGTTTGATTTTGTCTTGCCTCTTTTACATTGCGTGATTTGATGAAATACAGTTTCAATTGTGATTTTTCTTTCAAGAATTCTCTAATTTTGCTACCCCATCTGATAGTATTGCATTTATTCGTCAATGTTTAGGAGTAGCGATAAGGTTGCAAATTGTGAGGAGGTATAATTTGGTGGATCGGATTAACAAACTTAGTTTAGTCAGATTTTGGAAATATTTAGTTTGTTGTGTGAAATTGCCTCTCAATTCTGTTGTATATAAATAATTAGAGGTGCAATACTAGATCCCATGCAACCGAGTTTGGATTCGAGCCTTTTGATTCGTATAATTGAGCTACTGATTTTGAAGGTTCACATATATGGTGTCTCACTTGGTGTTGAGTTCTGTTTGCACGCATGCACATGTGATTTGGAATGATGCAAACGTTGTGGGAGAGCACGTTGTTTTGTTTCGTTCTGTTTCATACTTGTGGTTCATTTTGGTTTTGTTTGTGATTATTATTCTTAATTTTGTGACATTCGTGAGATTTTTCATGTTTAGGGCGTGCCCCTGCTATCTTTGTTACTGCCTTTGAGTTGGTGGCTGTCGATAATCTTCGAGTTAATCAAGATGGTAATATATTCAAACGTTTCTTCTCAGTTTTCCATTTAATTTTTTGGAGTGATGATCTTAGTTGGATAATGATAATATGTCTTTGGTAATTGGTGTTAGTATAGTGCATGCATTTTACCACTCAATATGAAAAGGTATTGTGGATGCAAACATAACTGAAGATGCTGAAACTAAATATACGAGTTTAATTTATGTGTAACTGCATGAAGTTAGTAACTTTGTAATACATTGTGTTGTTAAAATGTATAAATTTTGCTTTCTTGGAATATCTCTTCTCATTCCCCCCTTCATTTGTAATTCAGGTTGTGCTTGCTGCTTCCATTATAAGCAAGTCTGGGAAAGGTGAGTTCTGTGCATATTTTCTTATTCTCCTGTGAATGGCTGGTGCTTCAAAAGAACAGTTCTTCACATTTTTTGTTTGTCTATTCCTAGTTCACACAAGGAACTCTTAAGAATTGTGGATTGATTAAATATAAGAATGACACTGATTGAATTAGGGATTTGATGAACCCGTAAAGTGGTTTGAGTTGTGTCTCATGTCCAAGTGCAGTAAGATTAAACCAGACGTTAACAGTGGTCTTTTGTTTCATTTTGATTCAAGACTTTTGTATCATCTTGGTGATGGATAGAGACAGTGGGTTTCTTTGGATCTCTCCTTAGAGGAGCTAGGTTGGGAAGCTGCAGGAATGGCAGATATTCAGGCTTTTATGTTCTGTTTTAAAATTGTTGTACTTTTGGCTGAGCTGATATAACATGCGCATTCTTGTTTACTTGATTTAAATATGTACTCAGTAGATCCTACTTAAAGTTTAGAAGATGTTTTCACAGACAGTTTCCATCTGTAGCAGGAGCTGGCAGTGATCCATTCACTTTCTTTTTCTTATGGATGAGTTGTTATAACATATGCATTCTTATCCTTTAGCTACACAGTAAAGACTACGGAATGTTTAGTAGAGTTTTCACGTGTTTATGTGTTCCATCTATATCAGAAGCTGTCGGTGACCCATTTACTTACTTTCGTTTTAACCTGACTTGCTAATAACTAATTTGTTGAAATAGTGCATATTATTGGAGTTGTTACAATTATTGTCTATAATTGGTTTTTATCTTTATTGTGCAGTGCTTGTATCTAGACAATTTGTGGATATGTCTCGTATAAGAATTGAAGGTCTTCTTGCGGCTTTCCCTAAGTTGGTTGGCACTGGCAAACAACATACTTATGTCGAGACAGAAAATGTGCGCTATGTTTACCAGCCAATAGAAGCTTTGTTCTTGGTACTTGTTACAAACAAGCAGAGCAATATACTGGAAGATTTGGAGACTTTGCGGCTACTCTCTAAACTTGTATCCTTTTTTCCCTGGCATATGAATATTTTCATCTTCCATTGGTGACTTAACTTCTTGGACCCGTGAAACATTACTGATTTTGTAGAATTATTAGTTTGTTTCCATAATCATGAATGTTAAACAATGTTCGCATGGATCTAGATCCCATTTTTTGTTTTGATTCATTTGCTGATGCCTTCATTTTAATATTCTCCTACTACACACGGGAACCATGATCTATGTCTCTTATCTCAATTCATGTTACTTGGAATTCTTGTTCTTCAAAACTGGTTTCTTGACATGCCATGATGTGTGAAGAAAAAAAGTTAAAATGTTAAAAAGTATAAAGCTCGAACTAGGGCCAAAGTATGTACGATATCTTTTAGCCATCTATGTGCTTGTATGCAAGTGGTTATGCTTTTATGTATGCAAGTGGTTATGCTTTTATGTATGCAAGTGGTTATGCTTTTATGTATGCATGCATGTTCCTTCAAGTTATACCCAAGCAACCCAAGCAATAATTGTAACTGGTGCATGGCGATCCCATTGGCAAATTTCGGCCATGAGTTGTCTTTGAGCTATGCCTTTTCCTATTCTGTATATTTGTGTTAAATGCTGGAATGAACTGCTGAGTTGATTCCTTAATTGTTTTTAGGCACCTGAATACTCTTTGTCCCTAGATGAAGAGGGTGTATGCAGGACAGCTTTTGAGTTAATTTTTGCTTTTGATGAAGTCATCTCTCTTGGGCACAAGGAAAATGTGACTGTTGCACAGGTGAAGCAGTACTGTGAAATGGAGAGTCATGAAGAGAAACTGCACAAGCTTGTGATGCAGAGCAAGATAAATGAGACCAAGGATGTTATGAAGCGGAAGGCTAGTGAGATTGACAAAAGCAAGGTATTTGTTTAGGGTCTTGTGATTGTTCCTTTACTAGTTTAGTGCTGTGCATAGTTATCTAGTCTTGCAAGCCTCTGGTTTCATAATACTGTGTCATATTTACTGCAGATTGATAGGGGCAGAGCTGATAAAGGCGGATATATGTCCTTACAGTCAATGGGATCTGGGAGAATTGAGAGTGCGTTTAGTGAGATGAGCATATCCAGTAGTGGAAGTGGCTTTGGAGGTGGTTCTGGTTTCGGATTGAGTACTGATATTGACTCATTTTCCACAAAGACCAAAGGTTTGTGTTTATTGTCTGCCTGAATTGTGTAGTCCATTCTGAAATCAATTAGTTGTGGTGATGGTGGTGTGTAGTCTGTGATTTGAAAATTTGAAATTCCTGTTTGATTATGATGTGCATAAACTTGTGATCTAGTTCCTTGATGATAATTAAAATGCTACATTTGGTAAAGCTCATATTATATAGTCTGTTTAAGAAAACATTATAAGTTCATAATGTGCAAGGTTGCTTTTGGCCACCATTGTACCTTTTACAGTGGATTGAGCAGTTATATTGTATAACTAAGACCTATTTTCACCATGTACACTTCTAACGTAGGACAACCAAACTTGATTTATTTATCCTACTAGCAATAGGATTTAAGTTAGTTAATTAGGACTGAGCTTTTAGTTTCTTTAGAAGGATTAGGAGTTGAAGGCTATATAAAGCCCAGTTCTACTTTGTTTCTTTATTCAATCTGGTGGATTCCAGAGCTTGTGCTCTTGGTGTGTTTTAAGTTTTTGACGCTGGTCTAAGGCTTTTCTGATTATTTCTCTGCATTTACTTCCATCCTCAGGTCGTCCACCCTCGTCTGCTACTGCTCCTCCAAAGGGTTTGGGTATGCAGCTGGGAAAATCACAAAGGACCAGCCAATTTTTGGAGTCCTTGAAAGCAGAGGGAGAGGTGATTCTTGAAGATGTACAGCCAAAAGCAGGCCAGTCTAAATCAGCTGCCCCACCTCTAACTGATCCTGTCACTTTGAATGTTGAAGAGAAACTTAACGTAACCCTTAAACGTGATGGTGGATTGAGCAACTTTGATGTTCAGGGGACATTATCTCTGCAAATTCTTAACCAGGAAGATGCATATATCCAAGTCCAGGTATTTCATCACTATCCATCATGTATTACCATGGGCACAATTGCACAATCTAGGTAGTATTGTTGCAGCATTCATAATGATGTGTCATGTGTTTAAGTCACATATCTGGCAGTTGCCTTATTTGAAGACTAGGTTTCCTTTGAATCTGATAGAAACTTCACACTGATGTCCTTGCTGTTGGGGACTTCTATAGATATGCCTATTTAGAATGTTGTCCTTTGAAACTTGTTTTCATTCTGATTTGTGGAAAATCTAGAGAGGTGATCTGTTTTTGGTTGCGCTTAATAAGCTTGTAGGAGTAGGTCCAATGTTTTGTGTCACTGAAATGTGTTTTGTGACTGTCCTTTCTTTTTTTTTTTTTTTGTCAGATTGAAACTGGTGGAAATCCTGGCATCCTTTTCAAAACACACCCTAACATGAACAAAGAGCTATTCTCCAATAATAACATTCTAGGCCTAAAGGATACGTCTAGGCCTTTTCCTACTGGTCAAACTGGTGATGCAGGAGGTGTTGGTCTTTTGAGATGGAGAATGCAGACTTCAGATGAGTCAATGGTGCCCCTAACAAGTGAGTTCATTTGTCTTATCATTTTGGTGTATGATTTTTCTCATGTGCCCTGACCACTATTTATCAATCTATCTCCGTTGCAGTCAACTGTTGGCCCACTGTTTCTGGGAATGAAACTTATGTCAACATTGAGTATGAGGCTTCAGAGATGTTTGATCTGAGAAATGTTGTTATCTCAGTACCTCTCCCAGCTGCGAGAGAGGCTCCACGAGTAAACCAGATTGAAGGTGAATGGAGGTAAGAAAATTCATCTTATTTTTTCTTGTTTACTCTGCTTTTAGAACCTAAAATTACAGCTACACATAACTGAATGTGGTTATTGTCCTATGTGAATATAGAGGAGGGGTTATTTTCTGATTGCTTCCTTACATTAAACAATCATGATCCTAGGAAGTATAAAAAAAACATGGCCTGGCCTAGTTGCATTAATAGGAAGGAAAGAAAACTTTTTAATAAACTTCTTGGTGGAAGTTCCCAGGAATAATAGGTAGTTCTGATGCCTACTGGAAAGAACATTTGTATTGTTTCGCATACGTAATCCTTTTGTATAGATGTTGGGCACAGATACTAAAATGGAATGGAGCCGGAAGTAATGCCGAATGTCCCTGCTTCCATATGACAGGATGGTTTTCCTCATGGAGCACAAGGATTTGAACATTCTATGCTTCTTTGGAATTTATATTGCTTAAATTTGATATCACAATTGTATTACAGATATGATGCCAGGAATTCAACGTTGGAGTGGTCCATACTTCTTGTAGATAACTCGAACCGCAGGTCTGTAAATGCTGGACTGATTCTTTTGGGCTGTTACATAATCTTTATGAACTAATATTAATGCAATTGTCATCCTTCTTGAATACTTGGCAGTGGGTCATTGGAGTTTGTTGTTCCCCCAGCCGACCCATCTGTATTTTTCCCCATTTCTGTGTGCTTCTCTGCCACCGAGACATTCAGTGACCTGAAGGTACAACTGCTTATACTTTGTTGATTCCATTGTCTTGTACTTTGCTCCGTGTGATGGACTTAAAGAACCTCGTTCTATAAGTATAACTACTTGATTCCTCTGTGGATGTTTTACTTCTAGACTCGGTGAAGTATTATATAATGCTCTAACTTCCATCACACTGCCTAGAACTCACTGCTTCACACGCCACAAACACTTAGGCATGAGCCTTCGATTGCTTCGAACCTGATGTTATGCCATTACCATCAGCTGCCTTGGACTTTGACTAGCATTTAGGGTAGTGGATGTGAAATAATTTAATTGAAGACGGTGACGTTTATTCCTTTTTGCGCAGGTTTTGAACATTATACCTCTGCAAGGTACAGCCCCTCCCAAGTTTTCTCAAAGAACGCAGTTGATCACGGAGAATTACCAAGTGGTGTGATAGTCTATCTGCAACTAGAATACCAGTTTCTGCAACCTTATTTTTGGAATGGATTAAATTCTGAAACCAGCAGGTTTCATTTTGTGGTGTTTTATTTTCCATTAAATTTGAGATGAAGGGATGCTAGACTTTGATATATTTTTTTTCTATAATTTGAAGCTATGAAATGTTGTTATATAAACTACAATCTTGATAGTGAATGATCTGCCAGAATTTGGGTACAATAATTAAAGGTGCAAATTCTTTCATGTTATCAAGTGCTAGACAAGAATCGAGACCTAGAGACCTAGAGCGGGAGATGAGTCTCACGTTGAAGTCTTGCTTTGATGGTTATTCATATTAACAGAAATTGACATGATACTTAGGTACTGGTGTGATGCCTTATTGAATGCAAGTATTATTTCTTGTTATATTGAGCCAACTCCAAGGACTTTCTCAAAGTAACCATTCACTTAAAAAACAAAGCCAAAGCTAAAAGTGTCATCACATAAAGAAATGAAGCACTCTTTTTGTCCTCCTCCTATGCACTCTTGTTTAATTACAACCATTGTTTTTGTTTGATTTATTCATTCTGATGGACAAAAATGAAAGGGTTTTTATCACAATGGTCCCTAAAATTAATCCTCACCATCAAGATGGTCATTGAAATTGAAAATTAGTTAATGTAGTATCTGAAAATAGGTGTTTCAAATCAATGTGGTCATTCTGTTACAATTTTGTTAAAAATTCTGTTAAGTGTTGATGTGGCACATAAATGGGTCCCATAAGTCATTTTTTCTCACAAATTCTTTGAAATTGACCCGCGACATCAAAATGGTCCTTGAAATTGACATGCGACATCAAATGGTCTCTGAAATGAAAATTGGTCAATGTAGTCCTGCAAGTAAGTGTCCCAAATCAAATTGAACCTGGATCAAATTGAACTTGGATCAACCTGGATCGACATCACCTTTCGTGACGACTTGGCTGCTTGGTGATGACTTCTAGGACATCACCGTTAACATTTACGCAATTAACATCCTCACAACCTTAATCTTGGAGAGCTTGTTCGATGCTTCCTTGATGGTTTGATGACTCAAAGAACGACGAGGTCTGCCTTGAGATAATGAGGTTATAACCGAGGTGCGTCTATTGTTGGTTGAAAACTATTTCCAAACCCCTCTTAGGCCTTGGTTAAGCCTTGTGTCTTTGAGAATTTATGAAAGATATCTCTTTTCGGAGCAGGTCCTACTATAAGTCTATAAAAAAAAAAAAAATCTATTGTGCAAAAAGGTATTTAGACAACTTTTTAAATTAATTATTAAACTCACATCAACACATAACAATTTTTTTTTTTTTTTTATAGAATTGTAGCGGAATGATCATATTGATTTTTGACACCTATTTTCAAGGATTACATTTATCGATTTTCGATTTTAGGGACTATTTTGATGGTGTAGGTCAATTTCAGGGACTATCTTGATGATGTAAGTCAATTTCAAGGACCATTTGTGATAAAAATCTGTAAATCTTGTGGGGCCCATTTATGTACCACTTTAGCACTTAACAGAAATTGATACTTTGATTTATATTTCCAATATTATACTATTATACTATATATTTTATCTTAATCTTAGTTAATTTATTGGTTATTTTAGTGGAATTTTGATACTTTGATTTATATTTCCAATGTAAGACATTCTACTTCCTCTTGAGCAAAAAGTGATCAAATGGATAGATTTTGGACTGATTCCAATTGGAGAATGTTTGTGAGTCTTTCAAGATGATTGTGTCGAAATTCCATATTTTTATACCAAGCGGTTTATTTATTACGATGAAATAAAGGAGCAACGCAGTATTGTCAAAGTAACGTTTTGAGCTTGATTGAGATTTTTGGAGTCCATAATGGCCTATTTTGGATTCGGCCCCTTTTGGAAATATGTTCAGATTGTTCTAATCTTTAAAACAAGCTATCATGGGACACATTGGAAGGCGTCACTTTAACACTTCCTCTCAAATGTATTCTATCCAATTATTTTCAAGTCCCTCTTGTCTATTTTCTGTAATGCATTCCCCTAACAAGTTTAACCTAATTTCCATGCAACTTTTAAGTCCCTCATTAAAACATCAAGCATTGAGTAGAGCCGTGGAGGACAAACAACGGAGCGGCTTAAGACATGACACTAGACAAAACAGGTAACGTTTCCCACTACAGCAGTTGGAGATCGTTACCAACGTGATTCAAATGCAGGCGGATTATATAATAGTAATTCCAATTACTCCTCAAAACACAATTGTGACTAAGCGAGAGACAGAAAAACGGCAGTTTAAATCTCATGTATCAATACAATGTAAGATTTTGAGCATGAAGCATATGTTAGTGTTGGACGTTGGACCATAATCCAACGGTTAATAGGTCTAAACAATTAATTTAAGGATTGCTTGGAATATAAATAAATTAGAATTTAGTTAATAGCTATAGCTTGTACCCCAAGTAAAGTTAATATATTCCGGATTTCCTTGGGGAATAAGGGCTCCTAATTCTATCCTATTTGGAATGAGATTTGGTGTAACAATTATCCTTGGACTACAAGGAATCCTAATGACATTATTATGGGAAGATTCAATAGGGTTAAGTCCATATAAATACAAGGCTAAGGTCTTTACTCACAACACATAGAAACTTATATGAAAGCCCCATTAGTTCAAGTTTAAAAGAGTGTTGAGCGTGCAGAAGACTCTGGTCAACTAACATATTATTCTGCAGGATTCCAATGATTTCCACCGAAGGAGAAGTCCATGGTTGAGCCTATTCCGCATGGTTCTATCAAAGATGGTTCATCTTTCCTACATGCCATGTTGACTTTGAGTACTTTATCAATTGAGCATAATTTATGGATTCTTTCAGCTTAGTTTTTTGGATTGTTTATGAAATATATAAAGTCTAATAGTTGGTATCAGAGCAAGTCATAATACAACTAAAGACCTACTCGATAAACCCTAAAAATAGATGTCTTAAATCAATGACATGTTTTAAGTTTTGCTCAATTTCCATACTCATGTTTCACGGCAAAAAGAAATTGGTTTTCTATGTGAATTGTGTTTTAACCAAAATTTCATAATGAAATTTGAGATCGCTATATATTAAAACTTGCCCCTTGACTTGAAGGAATATTACATACTATTAATTGATATTGCATCCTATTTCGATTTCATTATCCTATTGGGTTTATACATGTTTATTAACTTTATCACAACTACCTTAATCAAGTCTCCTATGTGGTTGTGCATATATGATTTGGGATGTTAAAATTAAGTATATATAATTATCATGAACTAGAACTTCTTGAGGTTGGCATATGTGTATATATAGCATGATGACAAACCCTTTTTTGCCACATACACATTTCGGCAAAAGGGGTAAACATGGTTCTTAACCTATTAATTTTTTTTTTTTAATTTGTTGACATAGAGAATTTCAGGAATGTAAATAGGCATATATATATGTGTGTGTTTTGGTTTTTGACTTTCAGATCTTAGTTTGAATGTTGATAAAATTCTTGGGAATGGTGTATGGCATAGTCACATAAATACTACATAATATGATGGACTAACATTTATTTTATCATGCTTGTATTCCCGGAAAAAGGAAAAGTACACGGCCTTATTATTTTTATCATTATTCAATGTTATTGCATAATTTTGTAGCAACATGGAGAATTTAAGGATGTTAATAAGCATTAAGAATATATGTGGCAACCCACAATTTGCTTTAATATATAGTTTTGACTTGGTTTCCTTGTTCAAGTTTTTGATAAATTACTTTCTGGAGATTCTCGGTACTACTAATGTATATTGTGTTTTAGGTTCTTGGTTAGTTCACATACATTGTAAGTCTTGATATGTGTATAAATATACGAAAAATCTGATAGCATGAAAGTGGTAATTTAAAGTGATTTTGATTGCCTTTTATTCATTAAGTTTATGTTATATGCTATCAATGGTACTTGCAGCCTTGCAATTCATATGCACATATGTAAATCTCATGTTTGTCTTAAGTGATATACATTACTTTTCAGTTTTAACTAATGATATTTCATGACGTTGAATATATGCATATTGCTTGTGTTATGGCCCATGCTTTGGTATTATAAGATTAATTAACTATTGTGACATACCATGGATATGTATTGCTGCTAAAATTGGCTAAGAGAGGGAACAACCTCATTAAGAACATTTGGGGACACTTCTAATCATGAAGCCTGCAAGATTGTGTATATCACATAGGTGAAAGACTTGAAGTAGTGTATGAGACAAATATTGTCGCAAAGCATGTGAAATCATAAGTTTTAAATGTAAGTACATCTCTACAACGCGTCTAAATCACATTTGTTTCATAAATATATATTACTGTTGTATTAGCATGCTAGTTGAAACATACAACTAAATGCATGTTAAAAGGGTACCTTACAAAATCAAGGAATTTATCGTATTCAACTCATAAGTTATATCTGAAATAAGACATATATCAGGTTTTAGTTTGGTCTTCAAGCTCACTGCTACCCAGATTTTGTTTTATAAAAACTAGTATCTTTTCTCACAATATGTTGATATGCTACTGCATGCTCAACCTCTATCTGGATTGGTTAGCGTTTTCAATTTAATATATATGGTCAAACCGAAAATAATTGATGTGATTAACTAAAACTGGAAAAATCATTCATATATATCAATATTTGGTTGCCTAATATTTTGCAAAAGTCATGCTAGAGTTGCTTTCAGTTTTTCAATTCTATAGCAAGCTATTTTTCTTATCATGCATATATGGAACTAATGCATGGTTAAGATCCTGGATGAAATTAGTTTCATATGTTTTAAAATATTAGGTCTAATTTAAACTAGAAAATTGCATGTTTTCTCTAACTTTGCTAAATAAGCATGCTCTTCAATTGAATTTTTTTATTATTAAGACAAGCTCAAAGTTATCATAAGATCAATGTTTTTGAGATGTTCTTGGTTAAATGGGACACAACAAATCCATTGCATTGATTCAAAGGCTGCTAAAAATTCAAAGTTTAGTTGATCGAATTGCATTAGTAGTCGTAATAGTATGACTATATCCCCAAACAAAGGTGTGACTAACCTTATTGGTTCGATTGCTAGTGGCTTAGTGTAAAGTATAGATTATGTGAAGCATGTGATAATTGATTACCAAACAGTGGTGGATAGTTTTCATGTCTATATTTTGCTCACATGATTTATATTTTAACAATAAAAACTGATTAAGCTTAAACCAAACAACTGTGCGAGTTGTTTCAATTGTAAAGTCTATGGGGTATTTGTTCATTTGTGAATATAAAGTCATGGTAGTTCTATGTTTTAAAGTTATGAATGCTTTTCATATGAGCCCCCTTAAATCCCATATTGCGATTGATAAAGCATAACATAGAATTTGTTTGGTCTTAAGGCTTCTCGACCAAATGTAACCTTCATTGGTTTAAATTAATTTTTGGATCGAGATACACGTTTGATTAAATTTGCCTTATTTTAGTTCAAAAGTGGCATATTACAATGTATTCAGAGATGACTTGTTAAAGGTTTTGGATTTTTTAAAGATTGGCTATGTGATTTAATGTTTGTTATGTGTTGTCTTCTCTTCTCAAAATTAAATGGAGCATATGTCGTTGAACACATGAAGGATAATCACAAATTGCCTAAGGTACACATTGAAATCCGCTACTATGTTGTTTATTTGCATATCTTTATGGTCCAAGATTTATTCATGATAAGCTATATGTTGAAGTAGACTTCTTAAAGCTTCTTTAGACACCAAAATTATGAAAATACATGAAGAATTGAATTTTTGGTGATTTTATCAAGCTGACATAGATGCACAGAATTTTTTCTGCTCGAATATGTATTTGGAAATTAACAAACGACTGGGCTATTGACCATCAAATGACTTGAAATTTGAATATGTGCTTCATATATATGTCAATTTTTAGACTGCAGAATTTCGTAATTTTGGGTTGTGTATTTTATTTATAGGGATTTTATTAGTAACCCGTGCTCAGTTGAAAGTCTAGTTTGGCAGTTTTCATCGTTTAAATTAAGTTTAACAAACGAACGATTAAGTGACCTCAGAATGACTTGAAATTTGGATATGTTGTTCATATATATGTCTACTTATAGACTAGAAAATTTCGTGCTTATTGGTAGTGTACTCTACTTATGCTGATTTTATTAGTAACCCTGTGTTCAGTTGAAAGTCCAGACTGGAGTTTCTAGTGTTTTCTTATATGTCGAAAAATTTGAGCTACCTTTTAGCTCTAGAAAAATTCCTTTATTCTATTTTATAAAGTTTAATGTCTCTCGTATAGTCTATGTGATTTTGCGACAAATCAATTATACGTCAGTTATGTAATTCCTCAAGCTGGAATCTTGGTTTTTGGCATAGTATACTACTTTGCTAAAATATTTTGGGAAATTCTATACTAGTACAAATAAAATAAAAAATATTTTTACCTACATGCTTTTCAGAGTAACAAATGCAATGAGTGTTTGGCCAAGTGGGAAAATTGATAAACAAATAATTGGGCTTCACACTTATTGAATTTAAGTCACACACGCTAAGTTCTAAAGATCCGTGGGAGTTGTTCTTATGCTAATATACGTTTGTAAAGTTTTGAGTATGAAACTTAGTTTTATATTTGCATGTTTCTCCCTAGAATTTTAAAATCGAGTTTGTGGAAAAAAATGCATGCTAGAATTTTAAAGTCGAGTTTGTGGAAAAAAGATTCATGCTATAATTGAAATTTTCTAGATTTGATTAGGATTATCCAGTTTTCAATCCTATAATTGTTCTACTGTTGTTTTTGAATTTGTATGCATGTATGATAGTATTCTCATGTTTTAACACCCGTACCATACACGATTAACTACTATTTGGTTAAGTTCTTGTATAGACAGTTGCATTTTAAGTTGTTTGGTAAATATTATTTGGAAGTAATGACTGAGAGAACTGACATGAAATTATACTTGCTAAACGAATTTTGGCTTAACATATTCATTGTTGTATAATATGATTTAGTGTAAGGTGCAATAACATGTTTTTGACGAATATATGCATCTAGTTATGGTATTTGTTTCTCGCATTCAATATAAGATATAATTGATTAGTGGGAGGAACAATTTAAATGTGTGGCTTATGTCCACATAAGGGATGTTTAGTTAATTATGTTGATATGTGCCTCACTTGGTTGATTTATGAATGTGGGTTTAAATTTCAATTCGTATATGTATAATTGTGGTTGGTTACGACTAGTTGAATGAGGATCCAAGTTTGCATTACCCATTCATATAAGGTTGTCGTGATTTACTAAGCTGTGAAGGTTTTATGCAGCTGTTAGTTAGTTTAGTTTGTGATTCATGACAATAAGGAAGCAACAAAATTTACAAGTTGCATGATTTAATCTTTAGTTTATGTTGTGAATTCCATAAGGTAGAAAAGGTGTATTTTTAGTTGCGTTCTAAGTACTAGGAGAATTGAGTTTTGTTCTTAGGTTTTGTAGTTTAGAACACATAAAGTAGCAGCGAACATCTTAAACTGTAAAAGAGTTGTCATCCATTTTTGATAGACACAAAAGTAAGCTGGTTCTGTAGTTTATGAGCTTCATAGGAAGCATAAGGCAATCTTATAAAGATTGATAAGGAGGACCAATAAGTGAATGAATTGATGCTTTCAATTTAGGTTTTGATTCACTTAACTACCAAATATGTGATGTATGTTTCATGTGAATGGAGAGCTTATTTCAGTGATTATAAGAGCTCATGGATGCTACCAAGTTCATAGTCTCCAATAGTTTTAGATAAGTAAACTCCATTTGACAGAACATGTAGGAAGCTTATTAGTTGACTAAATTCATGGGCCAATAAAGTAATCTTGCTTATAAATCCATTAAAGATCTTTTTTGAATTAATTGTTGTACCTAGTGGGAGAATGTTGGACGTTGGACCATAATCCAATGGTTAATAGGTCTACACAGTTAATTTAAGGATTGCTTGGAATATACATAAGATTAGGATTTAGTTAATAGCTATAGCTTGCACCCCAAGAAAAGTTAATATATTCTGGATTTCCTTGGGGAATAAGAGCTCCTAATTCTATCCTATTTGGAATGAGATTTGGTGTATCAATTATCCTTGGACTGCAAGAAATCCTAATAACATTATTATGGGAAGATTCATTAGGGTTAAGTCCATATAAATACAAGGCTAAGGTCCCTGCTCATGACACACAGAAACTCATATGAACACCCCATTAGTTCAAGTTTAAAGAAGTGTTGAGTGTGCAGAAGATTTTGGTCAACTAATATATTATTCCGCAGGATTCCAATATGATTTCCACCGAAGAAGAAATCCATGGTTGAGCCTATTCCGCACGGTTCTATCAAAGATGGTTCATCTTTCCTACATGCCATGTTGACTTCTAGTCATAATTTATGGATTCTTTCAGGTTAGTGTTTTTAGTTGTTTATGAAATATATAAAGTCTAAGAGTTAGAATCGGGTATAGTGTGTCAATACAACGTGCAAGTGCTTCAGCAGCACAGAGGAAGCAATCAAACACTCACTTTGTGTTTAAAGTAACCTAATTAATTAACACAAATTGTTATCAAGTTCTGCATCTTATAATAATCAACTATAATGAATTTCCACCCAACAATCAGAAAAACACTTCAAATGTCCCAACGAAGAACCCACTGCAAACTGGGTTAGACAACAATCGTCACTTGTTACATTATTACGTAAACAATTCCATCCGGGATTTGTCAGCAGAAAATCAGAACTAGGTTGTACCAATTCGACAACAACAATCGAGTTCATCCCCATTCAATAAACCAGGCACAGAAAATGGCAGGATTAATAACATAAAAAATTATGATAGTTAACCATTGAACTCCAAAACTGAGATTAAAATTCTAAGCACCATATCAAAACACATAAACTATAATCCATAACAAATACGGTTCCAAGTCTAAATCAAAATTATTTAAGCATAACCATCTGTTCAAGAGGCTAACATAATGATACTCGAAACAAGCATATAAAGCGGTGTGTTTGACTTAGTCGCCGCCAGCCTTCTGGTAAACATAGGTGAGACCACACTTACCACAGTAGTGCCTGTCGAAATGGTATGTAATCCTTGCCAGAGCCACAAACTTCAAATGGGCAAGCCAAGACATGCATTTAAATTTTTGGTGGACTTAATTCAATTTGGTACAGAATGATAAAGAGAGAGGCTCCGTCTCCATCAATCCAATACTTAGACAGGAATTCTTGCATAAACTATTGCAAGTAGTAGAGCATATTCATAATACAAAAGGCAATAATATAACCATTTTAGCAATAATTCTAGCTAGAGACACGTCACAACGATCATAAATACCGGAGTAAGATTCTCTCATCTCCAAATTTCCCTCTCCTCCCCTCTAGTTTGTTCCTATTTAACAGTTATGATTAAACCACATTAACATCTGATGTTGATTTCTTTATAAAAAGAGTAAAAAAGAAAAGAAAGTGAGAGATGATGGGACTAGAGGGAAAATGTCCTACTCTAGAATCACCGGGAATTCTTCAGTGCAATTGGCTTTTATGCTGATTGTATTGTTTGCTTTTAAAATAGGGTAATGTTAGGGAGACTAAATTTGGAGACAAAGTTTTGAAAACTAAAGGACATGAAAGTTGATTGGTTTATTACTTAAATGTTGATAAACATGGTTATTCCTATTGGTGACACATCATTTAGTTTGCAAATTTAGTCTCCCTAGCATTACTCTTTAAATTAAGAGTGATGCTAGGGAGACCAAATTTTTTAAATCAAATTGCAAACCAAATGATGTGTCACCAATAAGAAATAAGCGCGTTAATCAACACTTAATTAATAATCCAATCATTTATAACCACATCATTTAGTTTGCAAATTTGGTTTAGAAAATTTGGTCTCCCTAGCATTACTCTTAAAATAAATTAGAAAAGAAATGAATTGTAGATAACAGTCATTGACATTGAAGTGCACGTCAAACTTTGTCTCCTCCTTTTGTCCGCAAATTTTCTTTTCTGGGTTGAGTCATGTTCTTCTTCTATTCCGCAATTTGGTTTTGGGTTTGGTTTTCTTCCAACGCCATGGCCATGGCTCTTCGGATTTTTATGTTATGCTATTTGACTCTCTCTGGCTCATCAAATCCTCTCTTTGTCATTTGCCTTACCCTGTACAAGCTCTTCGGCGAGTTTAATTTTCATATGCTCACGGTCTGCACCGTCGAAATAATCCCTACCAAATCAACGAAAACTTGTCGTATATGGACAACAAAGACCTCTGGCGCGAAAACCCACTGACCATAAGGTCTTCGACGAGGACGTCACCGCCTTCGTCTTGAAGAATACTATTTGAAAACCAACTTTTACTATTTAGGGATGATCGTTGGGTGGAAGTGTGAAAACATAAATTAACCATATCCAATTGAAAAATGACACATATATTATATGTTTAATATGACATTTTTAACCTAGACATGTGAGTAGACCATAAAATTACCATAAGAGAATAAGATGTATTCTACCATAAGATAATTGGACTTTTATGCCATGACACACCATGGGCTCTCCGGACCAACCATAACACCTATTATGAGCTATCTGAACTACCCATAATATGCCCGGCCATAAGGTTATACCCAGTCAAATGATGGCAGGGCACATACTCACTAAAGTCTATCCTTGAGTTTCTGACACCCCTGTGTTCTTACTAACATGGACCTTTAGGAATACTAGCTGATAGGAATGCGGCCTACATCATCAAGGATTGCTTAGTATGCACTGCAGCCTCCCCTCCCTGCTGCCTTTTAGGTTTCTTCCCTATAAATAATCAAGTCAATAAGAGGAAATCGTAATCACTTCTTAGTACTTAGAACACTCTTAAGTTCTATTTCTTATCTATTACTTTTCTACTTTGGCATTAGAGGCCCTTTGGCAGACATCATCCCTTCTTTTTTTTGGGTGTTTGTTAATGGCGTTTGTTCTCTTGTAGGTGGAATTTTATCAAATCAGTAGTGTACGAAATTTGCATCCTTAAATTGGTGTTTTCATATTGAGATAAAAATTAAGTTATACTTAACGCATGCTTATGGATCTGACTGAAGAAAATAAACCTTAAAAAGCCTTTCTTTGGTGTTCTCATTCATCATTCATCGTTCTTGTTGCATCGAACAACTATGGTGGATACGCGAAGAACCGCGAGCAAGAACAACAACGACCAATCCTCACAATCTAAGATTTCAATGGAGTCTCTGAGGCTTAGAACGTGAAACCGGAGATTTTGTCAATCACGACCCCCATCGCACCTTTTATTTGAGTCTTAGACCTTTCACTATGAGACAGAAATGCCGCAACTTCGTTGAGGCTTTAAGTCATAGCTACGGTAGCTATCATAACCATCGATAGGTCACTATTGTACCACAATCATGTTATGACGCCATAGCAGCAGTAACAACATTAAGAATAGCCATTGATGACGTAATTCCACCTAGTTTGATCGGCTCCTATGGAACAGGCGTCGTCAGTTCGGCAGCCACCTCCCTAACGACAACCATATGTTCAACCACCTTCAACCAATAGACAATACATGTCACAGATGGTCTCATTTGAATCAATTTGGTCTCTTAGGCCCGTTGTGTAACAACCTGTCCCAAATTAGTTTACGGATTTTGGAACAAGGGTAGTTTGGTATTTTTCACGCATGAAAGATATTTTGAAATGTTACTTTTGGGTCTTAAATGGTGAGCCGGGTGGGGCCTACTCTCTTTGTGGTCCTTTGGCCTCCCTTCTCCCTTGTTTACCGCGTGTCACTTCCTCTTTCCCCTAAATCCCTGGGATATATATCTCTCTCTCTCTTCACTTTCTCTCCTCTGTTTCCCTCTTGTCGCTAATCTGTGTTCTCCCCTCTCCGGCTACCAACACCCACATACATACATGTAACAATAACAACGAACACCACCTCCACCAGAACTTCCCCATGCCAGAACCCCGGAGCTGTCAACGTCTTCTTCAGTGCATAGTGGCTGCCACTGTTCACATTTCCTCCCCAATGGTTTTTGACGAGTTCTCGTCATATTTCACTTAGGTAGGTCTCGAAAACCACCTAGATCTTAGTAGCAGTGTCTGAAAGTGAGTTTGGGATTTTTTTTTAGTAGTTTTGGTGGCTGTTGGACTTAGAAACAACTTGGGGACACATATTTCGGCGAGGAATGCCGTGACTTCCAGGCCATTTCTCGACCAACTCTGGCCACCACAAGTCTTGAAATTGGTACGAATCTATTCCTCTCATTCTAAGCTTCATTTTGGCTTTTGAAACATTGAAAATAATGAAGAAATGAGCTTAAACGGAGCTCGGGAAGGGTTGCCTAGATTCCGGCCGAACCCATGGTCTGAAACAGGGTTGACTCGACCAGATAACCCTAAACCAGATCTAAACCCATCCCTGAACTGGCCCAACTCGTTGGGCTATGGAATCTGGCCCATTTGGCCAAGCTCAAACCCATAGAATCTAAGCCTAGTTCTAGTTACTCAGCCCAACTCTTGGGTCATATAATCCAGACTTAAATCCAAGCAACCCAGGGAACCCAAACCAGGCCATTGGGCCACAGAACCCGGCCCAAACTCTAGGCCTAACCTTGCGGCCCAACCTAGACCCAGATCCAACCTGACCCGGCCAGATCCCAGAATCCAGGCCGCGTGTGTTTTGGCTTGCACGTGGAGCACAGATGCCTCCACCAAAGGTATTGTGCTTTGCCGCCGTCCACGGCGGCGACGACAACTCAAATCGGCGCACGGCAGTTCCTATAGCGGCGCGTGGGGGTACCTGATGTCCCTCCTTAGGTTTTTCAACATCCTGAATCCATTTATGACATTTGTTTCCAAAAATTCAACCATTAGGATATAGTTTTATTAATTGGTCCCTTTATGTGCTTAGGTGCAATTGTTTACGACGTTTCCGTCTTCGCTAGTTTGCATGACTCTTCGACTGTGAAGTATTTATGAGTGGACCCCTTTCAAAATGCATGATTTTACTATTAGAAATGCATACATGAAAAGCACGATTTTATGGTTACATTTTATGAAACGCTTATGAGAAAATTGGATTCATGCTTTATCGACTTTACGTTCTTTGAAGTATATATGATTTATGATTATATACTTTGAATATGATTTATGATATGATGTTTGAGCTATTGAGCTTCGATGAGATATTTTTTAGAAAGATTATATTCAATGATTTTTGTGTTTATAATGGTCACTATATGCCTACGAGCAAATGATATCAATACATGTATTCGGTTGGGTGCTATAAGAGCCTACGGGAGACTGATATCTATATATGGGTTCGGTTGGGTGCTATAGGAGCCTATGGGCGAATGATATCTATACATGGCTTTGGTCGAGTGTTGTAGGGGCCTACGGGCGATTGATATTTATATATGGCTTCGATCGGGTGTTGTATAAGCCTACGGGCGATTGAAGTGTTCTATGTGCCTTCGGGCAAACGAAAAGTTCTATATGCCTTCGGGCAATACTGATACCAATATTTAGCACACTATATATGATATATGTTTTATGAAAGGTTTTATGGAATGCTAGGGTTTTTCGGAAAACCTATTACATATTATGCTATTGAGTTTTCATAAACTTTGGGGGTTAGTACATTGTTGAATATGACTGTTTTTGTACTACTTATATATCAACTTGGTCCACTTATGTTTTGTTTTGCGCCCCTTCAAGACTTAAAATTGAGGCGTACAATCCCGGCATCAAGGCACTCTCACATCGACATTTTTTAGTCTTCTTGGTGTAGAACCTCGCCCTTTTGTTCATTAAATTTTATATTATCACTTTTAGTGTCTCGGATTAGTTGCATGCACTGAACACGTTCCTCAATTGCATATTCATTATAGTTAAATTTATAAGTTTTATTTATATTCACATTTCTTCATTGTTCTCATGCATCTTATTATGGCTTCGTCACCTTCGGGTGTCGACCAGCCCGTGCTTCCTCTGGTGTTTTGAGGATTTTAGGGTCAGGCGTGTTATGTTGATTCATAAATCTTAAATCCCATGATCTTTGGCTTATTAATGCAGCCTCGAGCAGCTCTGCCCGTTGAGCATCATGTATCTCCTAGCAAACCCATACCTGAGCTAACCGTTGAGGCATCTACCCATCCAAAGCTGTTTCTTTGCAAGTTGCATACCTTATAACGACATTCAGTAAAAAACGAAAATGCTCACTCAACTTCTTACTAATCCCAATCTCGTAAGAGATCTTGATCTTGGCTCGCTAAACCAAAGAGAGTTTGAACAAGATTCATCATTCCCAGACAACTAGGACAAGAAGTCACGATAACTCAGTTCTTATTCGTCAGCAGCAGAGACATCATCTAACAAACAAGGAAGGAGATCGCAGATCGAGGAACGAAGCATCCATGAGCGTCCATTCCAAGCTAGGCTCGTGCTTTAACGTGTCTTCTCAACTTGGTCTGTTCACACTCAACTATGTCCTTAGAAAAGTGTTCGCAATGGGTTGGGCTCACTCAGAAGTGTTCACTCCCACCTAGATTCAAGGGTGTACCCCAAAAATCAGGTTGGGGTACCATCCAGGAGAAGGATAAGCAACACGACAAAACGTTGGAAGCATGCTCCACTATTTCTCTAGTCCATTAGTTGCAAGAGGCGGAGAACAGACCACCAGGAATTGCAGACCTATGGAGCTACATGTAGGAAGACAACCCATCCAACTCGAAAACATACAACCATTGCTCGTAGAGCAACTCAGAGACTTCGGCCCATCGTGCACCAAAGAGGAATGTAATCATCAAAGCTAAGATTGGCAAGCTCTTTACCTCAAGTTTCATTGAAGTGGTGGTTCATTTGGAATGGCTAGCCAATATCGTGTTAGCTATGAAGAAAGAGCAGGGGCAATGATAAGTTTGCGTTGATTACACCAACCTCAACCACGGCTGCCCAAAAGACAACCACCCTATTGCAAGAATTAATCTGCTGTTAGATTCGACCTCTGGAAACCTATTGCTCAGCTCTCTAAATGCGTATCCCGGCTACACCCAGATCAGAATTACGAGCCAGACAAGTGTAAGACTGCATTTATCATCAAGTAAGGGACTTATTGCTACAATGTGATACCATTCAGTTTGAAGCATGCATGGTCAACACACCAATGACTGGTGAACATAATCTTCAAAAAGTTGATTGGCAAAACCATGAAAGTCTATGTAGACGACATTATGATTTTAAGACTAAAGACGTGGAGATCACATCAAAACCCTTGTTCATTCATGAAAATGACGTGAGAGAGAGAATCATGCATCATTCGTGAATTGTTTCTCTTATTATATTTAATATATTTTCTTCCATCTAAATACATTGTTTTCTTTTTAGTACATCCAATACAAATAATATTAGAAGGAGAATCAAACATACAATCCACCGAGGAATTTAATTACATGAACTACCAATAGCATTGACTCATTATATTCACGAGAAACGAAATCTCAAGGAAAAAAATGTAGATGGACTGAATAAAGAATATAGTAGCCGATTTTTCCTTTTGGTGCTGAAATGCACTGTGGTACTCGTAAGTAAAGGTAACTTACATCACGTAAGCTACATGAAAAAAATTTACATATTGTAATGTCTTGAATTGACTGGTCCAATTATATATTATTATGTGAAGAGAAATTTACATTTTGTAATGCATTGAACTGAACGGTAAATTTCATGTAAGTAGTTCATAAACACAAAAGATATGAAAAATGGGCAAAATTTACGCATAAATTGTCACCGAAAGCGTCGAGCGTGCCAAAAAAACTATCCTGTAAAATGTATGATGCATCCACCACAAAGCAATAGTCCAAATGTATTTAACACGATTCACCATGTTGGCAATTAGCAAAACGTGACGGTCATAACTACCAGTCGTGGCCGTCAAACGACCAACCCACCACAAACAAACACCTTCCAGAACCCACCACAAATGGTGGTCCATCTCATCACGATTTCACTTCTCAATTTGGAACAAAAATTCTGGGTTCTCACTGAATGTCTTCCACTCCGGCAATGGCGCTGCATGTTTACTGGTACGACTTCGTCTGCTTCGCCATTGTTGGGGTTTCTTTTCTGGCGGCGTCGTGGGTGATCTGGAGGAAGGAAGGAGCTTCGGAGAGATTCGAAGACAGCACGATGTACGAGAGCCTTCTGGTGAGCCGCCCTGACAGCCACGTGTTTGTCAGCACCCTCCCGAGGGGCCACGTCAGCACCTCCCAGCTCTGGACTAGCTGCTGGAAGGGGCTCCACCCCGGCTGGCTCTTCGCCTTTCGATTCGTCTCGTTTCTGGCTTTGGCTGGGTTCTTGGCTTGGGATCTTGTCGAATGGGATGCTTCCATTTTCATTTACTACACCGAGTAAGTAGGATTTTACTTCAAGTTTGTGGCTTTTTTAAAATTTCCTAACTTGATGTGTTGCTTTTTTGGTATATAAATTGTGGATAATCAATTCTTTTATATTACAAGCGATATTCTACATTAATCTACACTAAGGAGGGAGGGTTTGAACCTGAACGCAATGGGTTGGAGAGGAATGCTCTAACCACACGGTCCATCCACTACTTTTGTGGGTAATCAATTAGAGTAGTGAAATTTGAGTAACAACTCAATTTTCATGAACATGGTCTATAATCAATTACATACCCTGTAAATAAATACCAAATTATGGCCATCATAATGATGTTTTTATTGCTTTTAATTTCTGCAAACCCACATTAGGAAAGTACATTAGCTTCCACCTGTTATAATAAATTTGGTTTACGAGTAGAACAGTAGTAGTGATTTGATGAAAAGGGCGAGACTGGTGATCAGTTTGGCTAACTGTGTGAGAGGGTGATACATCGAGCTTTCCCAACTTTGCGCACATCATGTGTATGAGCCACATCCTGTCTGGCGCGCATTGCTTGTCGATGATTAACAAGGACATGGCCTATTTGCGTTGAAACTAGATTGAAGCATCACTTGCAATAGAATATCTCTTCGGATAAGCATGTGCATAAACTGCAGTGATCGTTGACATGATGAAGAACATGGGTTTAAAATTTGTTTGCATCTCACTATCTTAGTTCCTCAGTAATTGTTACTGTTATTCCTCATGTTTTTTTTAAGATTGAGTCCTCTCATTCTACTTATACCTTCAAACCATGTCCATTGTCAAATCGCAGTGCAAGTTATTCACTGCATAGGTATCCTCCATATGTATGTCACTTTCAGTTGATTACAATATGTGACCTTATGTGTCTTGGTGTTGTCAACAATCTCCTTCACAGTTTTTTGATCTTGTTAATCTGCAGGTGGACATTTACACTGGTTATGATCTATTTTGCGGTATGTCATGCGATACATCACATGTTCTTCTTCAAAATAAAACACATGTTTTCCTTTATTATTGGCTTGTTCTGTTAGTTGTCCATATCTTAATGCTCTATACGGTCTGTGGTGGAGACTTTCACATAGAGAAACAAACATGAAAATTATAAAGCCAATTTGGGGTTTGGATGTTTAAACTAATGAATTAGCAAAAAGATATCTATTTCAAATCTGTCCTGCTTTGCCTTTACCCATTGCTAATTTCTCTGCATAGCTGGGAACTCTAGTGTCTGGGTATGGTTGTTGGTTGTCCTTAAACAAGCCCCCCACTGAAAATGGGACAAGGTCAGAAGCTTTGAGAAGGGATGTGGAAGAGAGTAATGGAACTGTGAATACCTATAGGCGAAACGGAATTAAGAGTACCATCAAATTGCAAAGCCAGTATGCTCAGGAGGAGATTCTGAAACGAGCAGGATATTGGGGATATCTTATGCAAATTGCATTCCAGGTTAGTTAATCAAGAACCAGATATTGTACTTTTGTTGGTGGGCCAGGTTGTATATATTTATTCATGCATTAACTAACTCATATCAAATTAGGGCTACTAGAAATATACAATGATGTAGAATAGTAATAGTCCCGTTCTGTCTGATGCTGGGGAATATTAGCTTGCTTAGAAACATTTTGATGAACAAATTTGTTTGAGGTATGCAGTATGGTGAGAAGCTGATATGTCTTCATAACAGACTTGTGCAGGAGCTGTTGTCCTCACAGATGTCGTCTTTTGGTGTATCATCCTCCCATTTTTATCAAATGCACACCTTGGCCTCAATATGGTGAGAGTCTGGTTTGTTTTTTTTAATACGTTCAAATTCTAGTGCAACCTTTAAATCTAGGTTCTTTTTCCTTAGCTATGTCCTCATCTATGACAAATAATGCTGCTATCTTATTCTATTCTTCCTATTATACCTGAATAGATTGATCTGTGACTGCCTTGTACATGTGCTTGGCAGTTGATGTGTTGCATGCATACGCTGAATGCAGCGTTCCTTCTTCTGGATACCATTCTCAACAGCCTTGTAAGTATTTTGTTGGCAGCCTGGAAGCTCTTGTACTCCGGTTTTATCGTTTATTTCTTCTCATCTGTTTACTGATGTCATTTCCATCTTGTTTTTCAGCCATTTCCATGGTTCAGGCTTTCATATTTTGTCCTCTGGAGCTGCATCTACATTGCCTTCCAGTGGGTCATTCATGCATTAGGTTTCCCATGGTACGCATAATTAATTAAAATCTTTTCTCTTTTGCACAAATATGATCCCTTACTTGCGGTGAAAGAGCTAGTAACATTATTTTGAGTATCGTCCCAGGTGGCCGTATCCATTTCTTGAGCTCGATACTCCATGGGCTCCAATATGGTACACTAGCTTATCTATTCTCCGTTTTGCCTTCACTTCAAGTTCTAGTAAGAACAAAAATGTAATGAAGGCATATTATTTGCAGGTATTTTTGCGGGGCTGTGGCTCACATCCCTTGCTATGGGATTTTTGCAGTGATTATAAAAGCAAAGTATTCACTTCTGCCCAAATTGTTTCCCCACGCTTTTGTGAGGCCATACTAGTAGAGATTAGCTGCTATTCTTCATTAAGGGGGAATGGGCGGTTGGCTCCGAGAGTGTAACAACTCTCACCTCCAGAGAGGGTGTACACTCCGCGTCCTACATCGTATTACTCGGAGTAAATTTCACCCAATATTCTGTTTTATTTAAAAGAGAATTGGAACTTGGGAGTGGTTTTCATCTTCATTGTTTTGCTTGTGTAAGTTCACAGGGGAATGCTGATCCAATCCGTCCCCCTCCCTCCCCTCTGTATGTTAAAATTGCAACTTGGACCAATCACACTGAAGCTTCTTTCTTTCTGTTATTCTCGCACACTGAAGCTTACACAGAATACTTTCGTTATTTAAATTAAATTATTTTTTATGTTTCGTATTTTGGTTTTATGAATCATGTTCTAATTTTCTCTCCTTCTTGTCCATATAAGAAATTTGGAATCTCAACACACCAGTGAGATTCCAACGGCATACGTCGGGTTGTAGACCAATGTATGGGTTTGCAACAAACAAATGGGGCCATGAGTCTCGTTCTCTTGGTTGCTTAGCGATTAGAAACTTATGATCATTCACCATTAGATTAGATATCGAAGTATAATAAGATTAAAACATCAAATGCGCATTCACTTATTCTCCACCCGTAGTATTAAATCTAATGGTTAATGATGATGCATTCGTCAATTATCAGGTGACCAAAATGACATTTTACTTCCCACTTGGTACTACGGTTTATTGGTATTTATTTTCACTTGTAAGCAAGGTTCTAAAAGACGTTAGGCGCTACTCTGGCGGCGAGCTGGGGCTAGTGCCAAGGCATATTTAAGTTTACTATATGTCGTATAAATAAGTGCCTATTTATATTTAAAAAATACATAAATTTATTGGAATACATAAATTACAAAATGAAATGACATAGTTATAAAGTATAAGAATATATTGAAAACATGGGAAATAAGCATATAATGAGTGTTCATCCAAATATTCAGCAAGTTTCTTATATTTTATTGAAAAAAAAAAACAAAAAGAAAGGTATCAATGTTTTATCTAAGTCATAGTCGCGACCTAGGCAGGCTAGGCGGGTGCCTAAGCAGGTCTATGTGTCATTTCTTAACTTTCAAATGCCTAGGTATTAATCAGGACGATGGCTAGCCGCCTATTGCCTAGGCAGGACCTATGCGGCACTAAAGGGAATTTTTAGAACAGTGCTTATATGTGTGAGGTTTTAGGTTTGGATCTCGGAACTAATGGATTCGCAACCATTTTACCCCCCTTTGTATAAGAAAGTAACATTTCTACTTAGGTAAAATATAAAATACATGGGCATATGATTCACCTTTAACCATTTTCATTTTTGAATTAATGAGTGTGGATATAAATGCTTATTCATTTTCATTTTTAAATTAAATTGTTGAGTTCCTCCACACTTACATTACAAGTTTTGTGTTGGCAGTTGCTTTAGGATTTTTTTATTTTTTATTTTATTTTATTTTTTGAATTGGTAATATATCATTGCCACGAAGCCAAAGAACAAGGGAAGCCACGAATACATGGAAACATAACTAGTGTCGTATGACTCACGTGGTAAGAAGGGTGTTTTACACACCCCCTTTGTCCTTCCCGTCATCCTGCTACTTGTTCTGACCTCTCTTATAGTTGTGGTTGCGGATGGTGAGGTGGGTATCTTGATTTGGCTCAACACTCTCAAATTTACTCTTTGGCTCGGGTGCCTTCTCTGTTTTGGGTTGTTGTAGTGCTGTGTTGCTTTCAATAGCTTCTTGCTTGGGTTTTCTCCTCCCTAGCGGTGACCTTGGTGGTTGCCGGCTTAGCTGTTGTGGCAATGGCGGGTTACTACTTGTTTTGGTTTTTAGAGTTTTCTATGTTGATCTTTGTTGTCTTTACTTTCTTTGAACCTAAGTTAGTATGAGCATCTCTTTGTGTTTTGGGTTGTTGCTCTCCGATTACTTGGGCCTTTTTATTTTGCTTTATGTCTTCTTTGTTTTTGTAGGGCTGTAATATTTCAACATTAATGAAGCTTTATTTTCGACAAAAAAAAAATAATAATAATAATAACTAGATGTAACAAAGATAAGGGAAGGCATGGAACTACACCACACCAGTCCCTTAAAGCAGTTCCACCGAGGACTCTTTAGGCTAGCACCCAACCAAATTATTGGCCCGACACCCAGCCAATCCACTCCAGCCCACCAGATAGGTTAGCACCCAGCTCAAGCTGGTTTCCAAGCTAGCCCAGAATCGACAGAGCCATAGATCGGCCCATTTGAAGCCAGCGTGGCGTCAGAGGGCATTTGAATTTTTTTTTACGCCAGGCGCGAGCGTGGCTGTGAGTCCCGACAACAAAAAGTGTGGGTGGCCCACTAGCGCAGGCGCACTGAGATAATCGGATGGAGGCCAGGTGTTCGTTTCTAGGTCGTTGGATTTCCAACAGCTAGTTTTGTGGACCATTGGATTTCTACCTGTAAAAAAATTTTGAATTTGAATTTTGATTTGGACCGTCTGATCCACAGATCAACGGTCCACGTTTTTCCTCCAAAAAAAAAAAAAAAAAAAAGGCACAACGGTCAAAATTATGACTGTTAATATTTTGCAAATCCAATGGTTCAGATTAATTAACTAAATTAAAATTTATAAAAAAAATTAACTAAAAATTATGAAAAATTGTTAAAAAATACAGAAAAATTTTAGTTTTAATTTTTTTTTTCTATAAATACCTAACCTTCATCTTTCACCCAACACCACATTTCAATATTTTCTACAATTTCTACATTTTCTACACTTTGAGAGAAAAAAAAATGACTTCGTGGAAGCTCATTGAAGATGTTATGTTGTGTGAATGTTGGGTTCACACTACTCATGACCCGATTACGAGTAATGAGATGGATAAGTGAGAAATGTGGAGTAAAATTACGAAAGCGTTTTGCAATGTACATGGAAAAGACGCCAGAAGTAGTCAAGGTCTTCAAGGTCGTTGGAAAAAACTCAACGCATCCTTTACTTGTTGGAAAAACACCATCTCTCATGCTTCCGGTAATATGCGTATTGGGACAAGTTTAGCGGATCGGGTGACAATATATTTATTTATTTATATGTATTCCACCCGCATCAATATTTTAATTTATTTATTTGTGTTACATCCGCATTTTATAATACTGTCTTATCCCACATTTATAGACACTACAAGCACAAGCATTATACAATGCAAATAACCACAAAAAATCATTCAACAAATGGGAATGTTGGCAAATTGTCAAAGATTGCTCCAGATACAAAATTGTGGCAACCGGTCTAGAAGTTGTCATGCACAGCATGGGTCTACACAGTTCGCCAGAAGCAGACACAGCTGAACAAGAAGGCGACACATTTGAAGAGACGGAAAGGACGCCTGAAGAAGTGCCGGAAACCCAACTGACTCGTCAGTCCCTCAGGCCTCTAGGTAAAAAGGTATCAAAGAAAAAAGGTAGTTCTTCCAAAAAGAGACGTGGTGCGAAGGAGGCGTGCAAGATATGCAGAAACAAGTCAAGGGGGTTCTAGCTACATAGATCCTAGCAACGAAGATACTAGCACCACAGACTTTGTATAATTTTAGATCTTCCTCTCATTTATGGCATTTACGTTTAGTTCATGTAAATTTTAGATCTTTAAAATACATGCGCACACTTGGTTTAATTGCTTACAATGATGATTACAATGATAAATGTGAAACATGTATTCAAGTGAAAATGACTAAGAAACATTTTCCAACTGCCGAAAGAAATACAAATTTATTTGACTTAATACATTCTGACATATGTGAATTTAATGGTGTTTTAACAAGAGGAGGAAAAAGATATTTTATCACATTTATAGATGATTGTTCTAAGTTCACTTATGTTTATTTATTGTCTAATAAAGATGAAGCTTTTGAGTAAGCGCTATAAAGCTAAAGTTGAAAACCGAAAAGGAAGGAAAATTAAATGCCTCCATAATGATAAAGGTGGTGAATATTTTTCACATGAATTTGATATTTGTTTGTGAAGAGCATGATGTTCTACATCAAATAACTGCACCCTATACACCACAACAAAATGGTTTGGCAGAAAGAAAAAATATGACACTCACTGAAATGATTAATTCTATGATGATTAATGCTAATACTCCAAAATATTTATGGGGTGAAGCATTGTTTACTGCATGCCATATACACAATAGAATTACTTCTACAAAAACACATGTCACCATATGAAATTTAGAAAGGAAGAAAACCAAATTTGTCATATTTGAGAGTATGGGGTTGTGTAGCTTTTTATAAGGCACTCAATCCTAAGAGATCCAAGTTGGGTCCAAAAGGAATTAAAGCATATTTGTAGGATATGCAAATAATTCAAAGGCATATAGGTTGCTTAATTTAGACTCAAACACAATAGTTGAGTCCAGAGATGTTGATTTTATAGAAAATAAATTTTTTAAAGACTACTCAATGTTTGGAAAAGAGAATGATCAAACACCTTTCTCTAATTCGGCTACTAGTCACTCTCAAGGTGAAAAAAGAAAACAGTCTGAAATTGTTTATGAACCAAGGAAAAGCCAAAGGTTAAGAAAAGAAAAGACTCTAGGCTCTGATTTTATTTCATCTCAATCTATTGTATTTTTAGTCGAAGGAAATAGAAAAAAAGGTTCTTAAGAAAATACCCATATTGTTGAATGTTGAGGATGATCCTAAAAGTCTAAGTGAAGCATTGACTTCAAGAGATGCAACTTTTTGGAAAGAGGATATAGATGATGAATTTGAATCATTAATATCTAATCAGACATGTGTTTTAGTAGACTTGCCCCAAGGATCAAAAGCAATAGGTTATAAGGGGGTGTTGGGGTGTTTAGAAGAAAATACAATATAGATGGGTCTATTTAGACATTTAAATTCAGGCTGGTTGCCAAGAGTTTTAAGCAGAAAAAGGGAATATACTATTTCGATATATATGCAATAGTAGCTAGGCTCACATCAATTAGAATATTGTTTGCATTGGCATCTTTATATGATTTGCATGTGCATCAAATGGATGTGAAAACGGCTTTTTTAAATGGTGATTTAGATGAAGAAGTCTATATGGAACAACCAGAAGGGTTTGTTCTCTCTGGGAATGAAAAAAAAGTTTGTAAATTAGTCAAGTCGTTATATGGATTGAAGCAAGCACCAAAACAATGACATTAAAAGTTTGATATTGTCATTTTTATCATATGGATTTAGACATAACAGTGCTATAAATGCACATACTCTAAATTCACAACTGATTATGGTGTTGTTATATGTTTATATGTCAATAACTTGCTAATTTTTGGTACGAACATGAAAGGTGTATTTGAAACTAAAGAGTATCTAAATTCAAAATTCAAAATGAAGGACTTGAATGAAGTAGATACTATCTTGGGAATTAAAGTAAAGAAGGATAATAGGGGTTACACTTTGTGTCAGTCACATTATATAGAAAAATTCAGTCACATTATATAGAAAAATTGCTTGTTAAGTTTAAGCATCTATAAATAAAAGAAGCAAATACACCTTATGACCCTAGTGAGACTTTACTTAATAATTCTGGTAGGTTTGTTGGACAGCTTGATTATACTAGTGCAATCGAAAGTTTAATGTATGCAATGCATTGTACTAGGCTAGATATCGCATTTGCAGTAAGCAAACTTTCTAGAAACACTAGTTATCCAGGTACTACCCATTGGAAAGCAATAAATAGAATTTTTGGTTATCTTATTAACCTGAGGTTTACTTACTATGAGTTTCTAGCAGTACTTGGAGGATACTCAAATGCAAGTTGGATAATAAGTGCTAATGATAATAAGTCTACATCAGGGTGGATTTTTACAATTGCCGGAGGAGCAATTTCTTGGGTTTCGAAGAAGCAAACATGTATAGCACATTCAACTATGAAATCTGAATTTATATCATTAGCGGCACTAGGTAAAGAAGTGTAATGGATTAGAAATTTGTCATTGGAAATAGAGTTGTGGCCACAACCAATGCCATCCGTTTCTTTATATTGTGATAGTAAGGCTACTTTGTCTAGAGCATACAATAAGGTATACAATGGAAAATCTAGACACATTAGCTTGAGACATGAATATGTCAAGCAATTAATAATTGATAGAGTTACTAATATTATTTATGTTAAATCAAGTAATAACTTGGCGGATCCGTTAACGAAAGCACTTTCAAGAGCTTTGGTAGTTAGTACATCTAGTGGGATGGGGCTAAAACCTGTTACTGAAAATTAGCAACCAATAATGGTAACCCGACTTTGTCTAGAACATCACTAGTTTAAAAGTTTAATAGGTAATAATAAGTTACTGATAAGTGGTTGTGAAAGCACTGAAAATTAATAAATAACTCATTCTAGGATGATCAGTGCAAGACTGCTACGTTTAGGAGGATGAGTTTTATCTCTTAATGAGGTTATTTGTAGTTACGTCTGTAGTTACGTCTCTTAATGAGGTTATTTGTAGTTACGTCTGTAGCAGCAGGGATATGGAAATGAGCCTCACCTATATGAACATAAGAAGTGGTGCCTCTTCTACCAAGAGTTGAGTTTTCTCTTGTAAATGTTCATGAAACCAGGGTGAAGCACAAGGCCATAATAATGCTTAATTAGTTCAGAAATTTCTTTAAGGAAATAAGACATGATCATGTGTGTAGTGATTCCGGTTTTAACATAAGAATAGTTGGTTTAAACTTAGGTCACCATCGCATTCGTTATAACTTTGAATTACTTACACTAATTAAAGGTTTAATTCGAAAGACACCTTTATTGTATGCATAATTATATCAGTATGTTTGTGGTTAATTATAAAGAGAGAATTGTTATTATATTATTTATCATATTATTGAAATTGGGAAGGATTGTTAGAGGATTCAATAATACACACACACACTTGAATGCCTTGGTGCTGCATTGTGCAGCATGTGTGCGTACGGACGACAACCTTTAGTAAAAGGTTGGGTGTCAATCAACTTTTTACTGTTGTATATTTTATTGAATAGTTGTAACTTTTGATTAAAAGACATGATGTTTACTTAAATTATATAAGTAGAATTAAAAGATGTAATTAGTTAATATTTATTTTCTGAAAATTCTAAATAGAAGACATATCTTTTGGGTCAACATTATTAAGAAGGGTTGTATATTTTCAACTAAAATGAAGGGATTCGATGAACTAGTACTTTAATGCCTATAAATACCTATTGTGGCATAATGTTTCACACACAATGTTAGAAATATGTTTCTACATTCCTTGTTTTCTTCTCTCTTCATCACATTCATACAATTTCTTTCTAGTTATTTCTATGGGAATATAATTCGGTTTTGCTACTCGAACATTCCATACTTTGTTGTATCCTGAAAGTGAGTTGCCAAGAACCTTTTAGCAAACTCATTCGAATGGGAACAAACAATACTTTAAGAAAATGATTCAAATCATACCTCAAAATCATCATTCGGATTATTCTCTATATTTCTACATTAACTCTAACATTTAGTAGGGCTAATCTGAAGATAAGGATGAAAGACAACTTGCAGAAGCAGAAAGAACATTGATGTGGGTATCGAAAGTAATTCCATAGACCAGGAAGAAAGTGCCAGAACATTTCAAAAAGAATGGAGTTTGAGAACGTGCAGGCATGAAGAGGGATATAATCTCCTAGATAGAGTCAAAATTGACCTAATAACTAAAAACTATTAATTTAGAGATAGCCCTAGTTCATAAAGGGGAAGAGATAATGCCCAAAACGGTGTCAGTTTGATTGTATTCATAAAATAAGTGAAGAATATAAAAAACAGGATTAAGTACCTAAATCCTCCAACATTTTAGTGTCATTCTAAATTGGTCTCAAACTTTTTAAACATTCTAAACAGGATTAAGTACCTAAATCCATTTAGAAATCCAAATGCTCATCATTATGCAAGATGTTATGAAGAACACAATACGGAGTGCCATCTCAGAAGCAACTCTGGCCAATCACACAGCCAGGCCCAGGACACTCTACAAATGAACCACCCAGGGACTACAAAATCACTAAACAAATGGCCTAGAAGAAGCAATTGTGACCGAGCGAGAGACAGAAAAACGGCAGTTTAAAAGCACAAGTGCTTCAGCAGAAGCAATCAAACACCCTCTCTGTGTTTAAAGTAACCTAACTAACATAAATCCTTATTAAGTTGTACGTCTTATAGTAATCAAACATAATGAATTCCATCCGGGAACCGTCTCAGCGGAAAATATGAACAATCCAAGTTCATGCATCCATTCAATAAACTAAGGCACAGAAAATGGCAGGACAAATAATATAACAAAATTATGATAGCTAACCATTCAACTCCAAAAATTTGAAATTAAAATTCTAAATACCATATCAAAATACGTAAAACATAATCCACAACAACAACCACGGTTCCAAGTCTAAATCAAAATTATTTCAACTTAACCTACCATATCGATACTCCCAACAACCATATAAACGGTGCGCTTGACTCAGTCGCCTCCAGCCTTCTGGTAAACATAGGTGAGACCACACTTACCACAGTAGTGCCTGTCGAAATGGTTGGCCATGAAAGTCCCGGCGCCGCACTCGGCGTTGGGGCACTCCTTTCTCAGCCTCTGGACCTTTCCAGAATCGTCGACCTTGTAGAACTGGAGGACAGCGAGCTTCACCTTCTTGTGCTTGTGCTTGATCTTCTTGGGCTTGGTGTACGTCTTCTTCTTACGCTTCTTGGCGCCACCGCGCAGGCGGAGCACCAGGTGCAGAGTCGACTCCTTCTGGATGTTGTAGTCAGCAAGGGTCCGGCCGTCCTCCAGCTGCTTGCCGGCGAAGATGAGGCGCTGCTGGTCCGGCGGGATGCCCTCCTTGTCCTGGATCTTGGCCTTCACATTGTCGATGGTGTCGGAAGACTCAACCTCTAGGGTTATCGTCTTCCCCGTTAGGGTTTTCACGAAGATCTGCATCTTTGCTGTCCGCAGAAGACACAGAGGGAGATTCGGCTAGGGTTTCAACTTTCGGCTCTCTCAAATGTGCCCTTATCAGAAGGGAGAGGGAATAGGGTTTTTGAGGATAAGGGGACTTTTTGTCCCTGGGCTTCAGCAAATGGGCTTTGGCCCAGCAGTAACCTAATAATACGACGCGGCGTTTATTTTATACGAAGAGGCGTTCCAGCACCGTCTCCAGGTGGAAGAAGCATTTTCAACTTCGCTCGGCTGCAAGCGGTGAGGAGTGAAAAAAACCGAGCAAAAAATGGAGACTCGATGCAAGTTTTGGCTTCCGAAAAAGAAGAGATTTTGTGCCAATGTCCCCCTCAACGACTCTCTGTAAGCTCACTCACTCTCTCTCACTCTCTCTCTCTCTAGAGTTGGTTTGTGATTGTTCATATCATGGTAGGTTTTGTGGGAACCACACAGCGAGGTCGGACGGCGAGTGGATTCCATGCCCAATTGACCCTTCTCAGTAAGTTCCTTCGTTCTCTCATTAGTCTATGAAATGTGAAGTTTGAATCTTCTTGCTTTTAGCAAACATGGTCTCTGTGTGTGTGCAAGTGAGTTATTGAAACTGTTTATTTGTTGTGTTGGTTTTATGTGATTGAATAGCTCTGTACTTAGCGAAAATCTCGAAGGACATGTGAGGAGGTGCCCTTTACTCAAACAAGTGGAGTCTTTGACCAACCAACCCTTTTACCAAAAGGGTATCAATGCTGGCAAAGAAGACGACCACGATGAAATAGAATCGTTGGGAGTCGACGGGCCCGGAGATTTGGCATCGTCTAATGAGCCCGAGTTGGGGGCTTTGGACATAGTTTCGGAGATGAAGAGGAATGCTGTTTATAGTATGACTGTGCCTAACTTTTACAAATTAGTTGAAAAAATTGAGTCTGTTCATGAATCTTTGTGTAAGGATATTCGGGACTCGTATAAGGTGACAGAAGCTTGTGGGATGTGGATTAAACGAGAGGTAGACAGGTATGTAGAAGCTGGAATGTTTGGTTTGTTCTCATCGTAGGGGTTGTTTGATTGTGTAAGATTAAGTTGTTGTTTGCAGAAAAATTCCGTTTCAAGAGAAACATGTTATGCAGCAGGTGTCAATTCTTGGGAACTTGGAAGATTTTGGGGTATTGAAGAATTCGGAAGGAGGAGAGAGGGCTGACTCTGGTGATGGCAATGGTGTTCCTGCGGTGGTTGAGTTTGGAGCGGGGAGAGGATACTTGACACAAATGCTGGCAGATTGTTATGGGATTAAAAAGGTTTTTCTGGTTGAGAGGAAATCGTACAAGTTAAAGGTTAGTTTGGTTCAATGCATCCTTTTCCTAAGGTTAGATTGATTGCTTGTATTTCATATAGGGAAATTTGAATATGCTTATCACCTTCGCAGACCTTGATTGTCTAATAACTTATTTATTCTCTATGTCATGAAAATGCTAATTCTAGGCTGATCGATCCCTGCGTCAGAAGGAGAGATTGATTTTGCAGCGTTTGAGAATTGACAGTAAGATTTCTTGAAATTTTGTTTACTAGAAACTATAAAATTTTCTTGTAGTTTTAGTATCTCAATCAGAATATGATAATTTAAGTGCGATGGGATTTTTGAGGGAAAAAAATAAATGCAGTGCTATTTTTTTCTTGACAGTTAAGTTTTTACAACTCTCATTTAGATATAGGCAGATGTTGGTTATAAACATGCAGATACTTGTATGCAGTTTCACAAAATTTCAAGCCCACATGGTTCGCCCCTGTGCATGTGGCTAGTTATCTGGGACTTGGATGTACAACTCCATTTGTCTGTCCCAGACACTACATCTGTTTCCATGGGCAGAAATCATAGCATGTGATTTTTTCTGTTATATATAAGATGGCGGATACTTTGTTATAGTTCAAATTTTAACTTTTGCAGTTGAGGATTTAAACTTGAATGCTGTTGAGTCATTGCGGGGAGGTCAGTACCTGGCTATTGGGAAACATCTTTGTGGGCCTGCAACAGGTAGTCAACGATAAACTCACCTTAAAGCCACAGAAGTCATCACATATAGATAAGAAGTTAGAGTCTCATAGCAATCATTGTATTTCATGTTAATATTGTTTGTATGTTTCTTATGCAGATTTAACTCTGAGATGTTGCCTTGGGGAACACTTGCAAAGCAATATCGAATGGCGCAGTGTTAACCCAAACCTGAGAGGTTTGGCTATAGCAACATGTTGTCATCATCTTTGCCAGTGGAAGCACTACATAAGTAATCACTAATCAATTTTTCTCGCCATAAAATTCATAAATTAGTTGTTGAAGTAACATGTCATTTAAACTACATGCGTATATCTTTTCATCGTTAAACGGGCTGTATAAAATTGGCTTCCCTACAGATAAAAAATATTTATTAGAGTTGGGTATCACCAAAGAGGTATTCCATGCAATTACATGGTTTACTAGTTGGGCAGTAGATGCTGATCACGGTGCTAATCTTCCCGATGTTACTGATTGCAGACCGCATTTAGAATCCATGTAATCATCTTGAACTTGTGTTTATTTGAATAGCCTGATCTATGGTTACGCTTTCCACGAGATAGCTTTCCCTTTTTCTGTCCTCTTTTGTAACGGTTGCTTATCAGTGGAAAAACTATGTTGTGACAGTGAAAGGAAGCAATGTGGCATAGACGATGGAGTTGAAGACTGTGTGCGAAGTATGAAGGCAGTTGAAAGGGCTGTGTTAGGTTTTATGTGCAAGCAGATTATAGACATGGGTAGGTTAATGTGGATGAAGGAACGAGGATTAGAAGCAGAGTTTGTCAAACACGTTCCGTCTAGCGTTTCTCCTGAAAACCATCTATTGATTGGTAGATGCACCAACCATTCTTGAGATATAATTTTCTTCTTGTATTGAACCCGCATTCATAGTTGTTTTTTTAGTTTGGAAATTCTTGCTGGCTTGGCTGTCAAGTGCAAGAGCGGACTTTTCATTCATATTGATTAGTGGCAGCAATATGCTCCTTGAATAATTACAATCTGAACCAATTCCATTAAAATTAAAGGGTGTTTTTTCCGAAGGATAGGATCTGAAACAACGTTTCTAATTTTCATTTCACACTATCCTTCCGAAATAATGTTTCTAATTTTCATTTCGAAATTTCAAAATCAAATCGGATAGAATTACAATTTTCAAATTCTAAAATTTCCACATATTCGGATGGAATCAGGATAATTGTGGATGGAGAACATAATTCGAAAATAGTAAGTTTGAACACAATGCATTTAATACTAGGGGTGGGTTTGGTTTCATTTGGTTCAAAATTTCAAAATTACCATTCAATTCTATTTTTGCAATTTGTAAAGGAGAAACCGAAATATTATGGTTAGATCTCTTTTGGTTCGGTCCTTTTTCGGTCTTTAGTTTTATTAATTTTTTTTTTCCGTAGAAATAGAAGAGAAAATGAAAAAAATATATATAGCGAATAAGGTTCAACATATTTGAGCCTTAAATTGGGTTTGCCTAGCCTTGGATTGAAATTTGGCTAAAGATTGACTCGGAATTAGCTTTCAAAGATGAATACAAAACATAAATAAATAAAAATATTAATCTATATCTCATTCAATTCGGTTCACGTCAGTTTATTTTCCGAACCATCATAACCAAAACTGAACTAATAATTTTCGGTTTGATTTTTTTGCAGTTTCAATTTGATATTCGGTCAGGTTTTCAATTAGTTCATTTTCCCCCTTTTTTGTTGGGTTTTCGATATAGTTTGTACTTAGAAAAAAAGAGGGGTTCATTACCACTTTCTTGCTTCAATCTAGAGTGTTAATTTGAATCAATAAAGTGGCGACAAAATTTTAAAAACACACTTGAGACTCACTGGTGCGTTTGGACGCGGAAGTTTGTAACAAGATTGCTACAAAATGTAGCATCAGTTGAATTTATGCATGCGAAAAGTTATTGCGTGGATAAGAATCAGATACACCACTCCGACATTGGCAATGTCAATCGCGGATCACATTCACCCAATTATAAGTTAAACAATGTCTGTAAAGAGCAAGGTTTGAAATGAAGTTTGAACAACTAAAATTTGAAGCCTTCCATTTTTTTGGGAAATTGAAGAATAAAGTCTGCATATGATGCACAGAGATACCGAGACAGATAAGTATGAAAGTAGAGGAAATCATTGTTCAAGATCTTGTGTGAAGATTGGCATCATCATTTCATTGATGATGAAAGCCAAAGGTTTTCTCAGTGCTATAACACAGGTACAGAAATCCATCCTCGTCCTTGAACGATTCATATACAGAATCCATCAAACTAGCTGCAAATCACATTCCCAACAACGAAGAGCGCTGCTGCTATATTAGCACTATATATACATGACAAAAATACGGAAACAAGAAATGTTAATGCCGATGATACACGGAAGTAACTTGACTTGAATATACCTGTTTGAGGCAAAGTATCCTTCACAAAAACGAAGAGAGCTGTTCCAGGGGCCAGGTGAAGTCTGCTGCTCAAAACGTAAATGAATTGGCCGACGGACATGTCTCGAGGGACAAGGTATCTGTCATCCAAGAGATAATCGATCAGAGATGTATGTTAATTATAATAGGGGTGCTAACAATCAAGTTCATTTGTATGTATCATGCATGTATATCCTATTGGGTCCTTGGCAGTTGGCATCAAGGAAACTAATATAAATATTTGAATGCTAGTGACCAATACAACCTTTAACCTAAATGAAAGACATAACCCTAGACTCCTTACTATTTCGGTTTGGTGTTTCTGGTGAGTTACTTTTGCATATGCGACAAACTGTGATTTGCATACAAAAGAGGTCTATAAACTTACTTTTTCTTTTCCATCTGAGGAAGATTGCTCCTCGCATACTTTTCCACAATGACCTACAGTAAATATGAATATCAAAGATTTAAACTCTTTCACTTCAAATTACCAAAAAAAAACAAAGATTAAGACTAATAATACAGAAGATTAACAGAGTTGGGGCCCAAAATTCAGAAGAACAACTTACGGGGACTCGATCAGGGTATTTGGCCACCATGTCCCGTGACTCTTCAATCCTTTGATCTGAAGAAAACAATTTCAAAAGATTTACATATCAGCCTCAGCCCGATTCCAAAAACAATAACAAACAAAAGGAGCAAAGATTTTGTTTGTAGAATCCCAACGCACCAAATGTAAACTCGTCCTTGAATGTTTTTGTTCGACCCATCGCTGTCTGTCGCTCTGTCTCTCCGACTCTGACTCTCTGATGAGATAGGAGGAAGGAACAAGAAGAAGAAGAAGAAGAAGAAGAAGAAGAAGAGGAAAAGAGTGCCGCAAACGCGATGCAACCGCAGACGAGATGACTCTACTTCTTGGGTTTATCTTTTCTTTTGCATTTTAACGAATTTTTTTTGGGCCGAATATTTGGGTCCAACCCGGCGAGGCCCGTCAAAACGCTTAAACCCTTCACGTTTCAAACGGTTGAGTCGGAAACTCGGACAACAAACGAAGCAAAGGAGTTTCAGCACTGCGCAAAGGCAAAAGCATGGCTATGGCAGTGGAGAAGAAGAGCGGTTCATGGCGTCTGCAGAGCGGCCAATACCTCGGAGAAATCTCAGCCCTTTGCTTCCTCCACCTTCCTTCTCCCCTCTCTGCTCTCCCTTACCTACTCGCAGGTACGCTTCTCTCTCTCTCTCTCTCTCTAAACCCTTTCAGCTTCAAATTCATTGTAATGTTGATTTGAATGCACAAAATAGGGTCGGGTTCGCAAATCATTGTGTATGATTTGGAAATGGGAACAATGGTGAGATCGTTCGATGTGTTCCAAGGGATTCGAGTGCACGGGATAATCTGTTGTAGCTCTAGTTCTAGTACTGAACGCGCAGAGGGAACACTGGCGTCTTCTGTTGCTTTCAAAATTTCCGTGTTCGGCGAAAGGAGAGTGAAGATGTTTAGTTTGCAGATTGAAATGGTGCAGCAAGTCAATGTCAGTTTGACTCTATTGCAATCCTTGCCAAAGTTCTCAAACTGGGTCTTGGATGTTTCCGTCTTTAAGGTAAACCTTCAAATTCTAATGCTTTTTCTCATTAACTAATGGGTTTCCAGCTAGCTTACTCGGGTTGTGGAGTTGAGAATTTAGTTTTTGTTGTTTGATTGGTGAATTGGTAGCAGGGCTCTGTGAGTGGCTCAAATGGGGAAGGTGATTGTCTTGCTATAGGGTGTAGTGACAACTCTGTCCATCTATGGGATCTCTCAGCTTCTGCTGTGGTTCTTGAAGTTCAACATCCTGGTTAGTTAGTTCTAACTGAATTAACTAATTTGTTTTGAGCTTTCTTTTTAGATTTCCAATTTTTATTTGAAGTTCAAGTACTCAAATTTTAATTTGAACTGTAGAGAGGACCCTTCTTTATTCAATGCGGTTATGGGGAGACACTCTTCAAGCTCTCCGTGTTGCATCTGGTACTATCTATAATGAGGTGCCTAGTCTTTTCTTTCCATGATTCTCCCTACCCACCCAAATGATTACTATATGCACCCAAAGCTTGTTTAAATTGTTCTATTTTTCTAAGTTTCACCGAGGTTTTGAAATGAAAAAAAGAAAAGAAAACTGTCATAGATTCATAATTACAAAAATCTTTCAAAGGGATCTGATTCATTACGTATTCTGTGAATCACCGCCTTTTCCCCTATGCCCCTATTAATAGTCTTAATGTACTGATTTTTCTGTTTTTCTTAAGCTCTTAACTTTTAAAGAATTGGGTTTCCGCAGATCATTGTATGGAAAGTGGTGTCTCGGTATAATGCTGCATCTTTAACAAATCAAGTAGAAGACGGCATTGATCAGATAAATTCATTCTCAGACTCTGTTCAGCCTCATGCTTGCCAGTATGAAGCTGTTCATGTAAGCAAACTTGTTGGACACGAAGGTTCCATCTTTCGGATAGCCTGGTCCTTTAATGGAACCAAATTGGTTTCTGTCTCTGACGATCGTAGGTGAATTTGTTGATTCTATGATCCTAAAACTACTATCATGTGTTTTCCTCTTGAGAGTGTCTCCATTCAATAACTTTGTCTCTTCTTCGGTACAGTGCTCGTGTCTGGGCAGTTTGTGCAGAAACAAAGCATTCTGAGAATCCAGGAGAGTCCATTGGCCTTGTGCTGTTTGGTCACAATGCCCGAGTTTGGGACTGCTGTATTCTTGGTTCAGTAAGCTTTACAAAAGCTTTTGAGCAGTCATTGTCTTCTTCTTCTCCTTTCTTTTTTGTTTCTCTACCGTCCAAACAAAATAACATCATTGGAAAATCAACTCACCATGTCAAAGCAATATAGATAAGAACAGATTATTAGCTTCAGTTAAATCCTGGGGAAAGTTTTTCATTTGATTGTGTTTTCAATCCTATCTATCTCTAAGCATGCCATTTAATCACTGTGTCAATATGTATGGTGAGAAGAATAAACTTTCCAAAATCAATTATCCAAGTCAACTTGAACTTTTTACGTAATCACACTGGGTTTGTCTCGCGTGTGATTAACTCATGATGGAAATGGTCCTGGTGATTTAGACTAGATTGTAAAATTCCTAATGTATGGATTGCTGATTCCAAAACCATTTATTTGTTTTAGTTGATTGTCACTGCTGGTGAGGATTGCACATGTCGTGTGTGGGGACTGGATGGTAAACACCTTCAGATGATCAAGGAGCACACGTAAGTGCCTTGTGGTTCTTTTTCTGTCAATGATTTGAATTCATTTTTATTTACCTGAATCTGTAAATGAAATGGTTGTAGAAATAGCAAGAATAAATTTTACAGAAAAAAAAATTGTTGGTAGTTATTCCAGAAACATTGCCGTTCTGGTAACAGCCTTGATCATTCCCTTTTTGTGGTCCTGTTATGTGCAGAGGAAGGGGCATATGGCGTTGTTTGTATGATCCAAACTCTTCACTTCTCATTACTGCTGGTTTTGATTCTGCAATTAAAGTGCATCAGCTGCACACTTCCTCTGGGAGCCTGGAGGGACATGCAGATACAAAAGAATTTAATAGAACGATTACATACACAGCTCATATCCCTACTTTTTCAGAGAATATTGGACCTCTGGACAGGTAATGCTTTGATTATTGAAGAAGGTTTTGGGGTCCTTCCCAAATTCTTAACTCCAAGAAAATAAAAACTTAAGTTTGTAGTCTTGGTAAAATATTGTTTTGTATTAGAAAATGCTATATAACAATTTGGTCCTCCACCTGCTCAGCTAGGGTTTTGATTCATTGGCATCACAGCTAAGAAGTATTGTGGCTGTAAGAGTCCAACCTCTTAAATCTTGTTTCTATTGAGGATGTTTTATAGAATTTTTAATGTGTTGCAAACGATCAGTGAAGGGTAGTTAAGGCCTAAAAATTGATTCTTCAATATTCAGAATCCAAGCAAAACCTTATAATCACTTATATATGCACACGCATTTTCCTTATTTTGGTTTATGTTTCTTAGATGTTGTCTTCCTGAAATCTAGTGAATATAGTAATGTTATCTTACTTTACATTGGTATTAAGAAATACTGTTTCCTTTTTCTGATTTGGTCCAGCAAAAGCGAATACGTCCGTTGCTTGAGCTTTGCATGTGAGGATACCCTTTATGTTTCAACAAACCACGGCTATCTGTACCATGCTAGATTATTGGACACTGGAGAAGTTGAATGGACTGAACTCGTCCGCCTCAGTCAGGAGGTCCAGATTGTTTGTATGGATTTGTTGTCAGAACCACTTGAACTTTGCTCCAGCATTGAGGACTGGGTTTCTGTTGGAGACGGAAAAGGAAACGTAACAATAGTTGGCGTTATACGTGATGCTTGTACTCCTAAAGTGGGTTTCTCCCTTACTTGGTCAGCTGGGATAGAGAGGCAACTCCTAGGAACACATTGGTCCAAGTCACTAGGTTCTGGGTAATGATCAGTCTTTGCTCTATTAAAAAATAATTATCAATTTTCTCTTCAATACCTGATTTCTTCATTGCAACTATGTTATCAAGGTCTTCATTCTAGATATATGTTGTCCATAATTGGCAAGGGTGGTCCATATCATATAATGACTACACATACCAGTGTTCCACTTTCTAGAATGGTATACCCGTGCCACTTAAATTTCCAATGATAGACATCATCCAAGCCTTGCTTTAAATTTTAGATGCAGAAGTATAAAATATTTAAATCACCAATTCTGCTGTTCATACCATGTAGGTATATCTTCACCACTGATCCTAGAGGAACATTAAAGCTCTGGAGGTTGTCTGACCATTCTGCAAGGAGCTGCAATGTCTCTCTTATGGCAGAGTTCAAATCAATTTTCGGAACTCGAATAATGTGTTTGGATGCATTGTTGGAGGAAGAGGTAACTGTTTTCCATTGTCTTCTTTTTCCTCTTAATTTGCACGTGGTCCTGTGATTGGCATGAAGTGTCCAGAATCACTACGATGGAATATTTAAATACCAGGGAAACCCTGTGGAGTGTGGGTTGACACTGGCCAGCTTAAATTAAGACAAAATATAACACATGGTGGTCACTGTTGTGTTAAGCGACATATCATATATCCTATCCTTCCCAACGTTAGTGTTTGTTCATCTCTCTCTCTCTCTCTCTCTCACACACACACACACACACACAATGAAATCATGTTATTGAATATTCTTGTATGTTAGATAAAGGGAGACTATGACTACTGCTCAGGTACAGAGAGATATGAAGACTTTAAGGACAAGTCTAAGGAAATATTTAACTGTTTGCCTAAATTTATAAAAGATTATACATGAATTGTTGATCATGTGAAAAGATGTGGCTTGGTTAACTTTTCAGTTCTTGAATTAAATCTAGAGAAAACTGATATTAGTCTAATTTCTTTAGAAACTATTTGGTATGGTCCAGATAAACTTAATTGTTTTTATATTCTTCTGGTCGATTTTTGTAGGTATTGGTATGTGGAGATATACGTGGTAATCTTATTTCGTTCCCCCTGTTGAAGAGTGTCTTGCATGGAACGGTAGAACCTAACATGAAAATATCTCTGTCCAATTACTTCAAAGGAGCTCATGGAATATCAAGTGTTTCAAGTCTGGCTGTTGCTAGACTAAGCTCCGAAAAGATTGAAATACGCTCGGTATGGTCACAATTGACTTTTAATCTGCGAGAGTGATGACTGATTATAACACTTGCTTTCCATTATTTCCAAAGTTATTTGTGTGTCTTTGTGTATGGTGAGTAGTGAGAAATTGTAATGCCTTTTAAACTTTACCTTTTCCCTTTTCTTTATTAGAAACACTTTATAGCTGTTACCAGAGAAAATACGACTGCTTTCTTAATTTCCCAGTTTCTCAGACAGGAGCAGATGGGTGTATATGCTATCTGGAGTATGAAAGAGATACGAAGAGTTTGCAATTTATAGGGATGAAACAAGTGAAAGAGTTGAGTCTTATTGAATCCGTTTCTGATAATAGCTCTGTTAATGAGTTGTCAACCTGTCATTGTGCTGCTGGTTTTGCATCGGTGGATTTTATAATTTGGAATTTAGTAACTGAAACCAAGGTATTGTCCCTTCCTGTATGGCTGTACCTATAACTTCTTCCCCTGAAACGATTGTAAGTTTTTTGTGTTATTTATTTTGGTGCCTGAGGATCCGTATATGTTCCAGGTTGTCCAAATTCCATGTGGTGGATGGAGGCGGCCACATTCCTATTATCTTGGTGATATACCAGAAATAAAGAACTGTTTTGCATACGTTAAGGTTCGTAATTGACCAAAAAGTAGACATCCATAGCAGGCTACGATATGAGTTGTTTTAGTTTTATTTATGCCATTAAATATTCTTTTTCTGCTAGGCACGTTACTCTATCTTTTCATTTGATCATTCCGTATGCATTTCATTTGCTTACTTTGAAATAGAAAAGAGTAAGTTTTCATCAAGTTTATAGAAATGTTGTATTTATCTTAAAGCCTGCACTAAAAGTCTGCACAATATTTATTTGAATTTCAGGATGAGATCATTTATATCCATAGGCGATGGGTTCTTGATGGTGAAAGGAAGATGCTCTCCAGGAATTTGCATATGCAATTTCATGGGAGAGAGATGCATTCCGTATGCTTTGTCTCTGAAGATTTGCAACCTGGAGTAGATGAGAAGTACAGCCTATTCACTGGATCTAGTTGGATGGCTAGTGGGTGTGAAGATGGAACTGTGAGGTTGACTAGGTATGGTTACAATTATTCGCAATTTACTTTCTAAAATTAAAAAAAGAGAGAAAGTAGTTGAGCACCTCCGCTATGAAACTGGGGCTTTTCAGAGGGTTATGCAAAACCAGCTAAATGTATAATGATTTACTTAGGTATACGCCAGGTATTGAAAATTGGTCTGCATCAAAATTGCTTGGGGAGCATGTTGGTGGATCAGCTGTGAGATCAATATGCTGTGTGTCAAAGTTATACATTGTTCCATCAGATGCGGCCAGCATAAATGAAAAAAATGCAGCAGCGGAGAACAGAGAAACTCCAGTTTTATTGATTTCAGTTGGTGCAAAGCGGGTCTTAACTTCTTGGCTACTAAGAAGTAATAAGGTGAACAAAAAGGATGAAATACTATCTGATCAGCAGCATAACATCACTGGAAATGGAAATAAAGTTTTGTTGCAAGAGTCATCTTCAATGTCATTCCAGTGGCTTTCAACAGATATGCCAGTCAAGTATTCTAGTAATCCAAAATTTCCAGACAATATAGGGAAAAAAATTGGTCTAGCTGGGAATGTTTCTACTGAAGAAGCTGATGCAGGATCTAGATTAGTGTCTTCAAAAAAGGGAAATATGGAGTTCAAATCTTCAGTTAAGGATAAATATGAAGATGACTGGAGATACCTAGCTGTCACTGCGTTTTTGGTCAAATGTGCTGGTTCCAGGTAATAGGAAATGACCAATTGTTTGCTATTCTTATCTAATTTCTCTTTTTGATCTAATTCTAAGTTCTCGATTTCTTTCAGGATTACCGTTTGTTTTATTGTTGTTGCTTGTTCAGATGCCACCCTTGCATTGCGGGCTCTAGTTTTGCCCTATAGGCTATGGTATTAATGAGGGAGCCCTATCTTCTATTTTTAATGATTTTCGCATCACGTCATAGTTCATATATGACATTCCTCTATGATACTGTAGGTTTGATGTTTCTGTGTTGGTTCCGCTATCATCACCAGTTTTGGCATTGCAGCATGTCATCCTTCCCACATGCGTCCCTTCTGAAGGTCAGTCATTGAATGGATCATATATGGACTTGAAATGGTGTATGGGTTTTAGAAATTTCACCATTTTAAATTTCTGAATCCCTCTTCTGAATTTGGGATGAACCTTGTACTGATTAAAGTCTGTACACATAGCCTTCTCTGATCTGATGTTTTTCCCCTTTTTTTTTCTTGGATTACTGGTACTGTCACAACTGATGCGTCTAAAGTCCTTTAGTTGAACATAAGAGATGGTCTTTCATATTTTAAATTAAACTCGACACCCCTATTAATTTATAATGCATAAAATACCTTTCTCTGAGCTCCAGGTTGATATTTTTGAGATAGTTGTGAGCCTCATATCTTGAAAATCTAGACGGTCACTTTTCTCTTTGTAACCTGAGCTTTGTCCCTTGTCATGATTTTTATACTGCCTAAGCACGTTCTTGCTGGGTTGTGAATATTATTTGTATTTCACTTTGGTTCTAATTTAATGTTTTGATGTTTTGAATTTATATTTTCAAAGTATTGTCTCTAATATAAGTTGATTTGCAGATAATGTTCAGAGGGGGGGTTTGTATATTCTCATTAGTGGGGCTACTGACGGAAGTATTGCCTTTTGGGACCTCACCAAAAGCATTCAAGCTTTCATGCAACTTGTATCAGTACTTGATGTTGGAAAGTTCATTGATTGTCAGAAAAGGCCACGGACAGGGAGGGGAAGTCAGGGTGGACGACAGTGGAGATCTTTAGGCAGTAGCATGTCAAAGAATAGACTGGGCACTGGTTCCACCACTGTAAAAGCTGGAGAGGAAACTAAACACAATTTTCCTAATCACATTATGGATGGAATGACATCGATGCAAAATGATCACAAGAGCAGAACAGTTTCTTCCCAAGCTGATGATACTGCTTCCGAAGTGAATGCTTCTGATTCCTCATCTGATATATGTGAAATATCTCCTTTAGTTGTTTTCAAGACCATTCATCAATCGGGTGTCAATTCTCTCCATGTTTCAGATGTAGAGGGTTGTCGAAGTCCTGAAATTGGGTTTCTGTACAATTTAATTAGTGGGGGTGATGATCAAGCACTTAGTTGTCTTACGTTTGAATTGTCAGTTTCAGCATCAAACACTGGATCTGAGAATAGGGCACTGGAAATTACAAATTCAGTCACTGAACTTGGAAGTAAAAAAAAACTTATTCACTCTAGTCAAGACAAGAACTACTGGATCAGATTCCTAAATCATGATAAAGTCCCTTCAGCTCACAGCTCTGCTGTAAAGGGTAAAGGAAATTCTTTGAAACCTGATTACTATCCCATTGTAGAGTAATTCCCAACGTTAAGAATAAAGACTCTGTCTTTAAACTTTTTTTTTTTTTTTATGTCTCCTTTCCTAGAACCTTTGAAGGACTAGTGTTAGTAATTTTTCTTGCTGAAATTCACTGTATTTACTGTGTAATCAATTTGTGTTTTATTTATGAAGGTGTTTGGACAGACGGATCTTGGGTTTTTTCCACTGGTCTTGATCAACGTGTCAGGTGCTGGCGTCTAGAGGATGAAGGTAAACTAATTGAGGGTTCTTATTTCATCATAAGTGTGCCAGAGCCAGAAGCGCTGGATGCTAAAGTGTGTGGCCGGTGAGTAAAGTGCCTTGTACTAACATAGATTCACAACTAACTTCATAGCAGAATGATTTAGTATATCAGCATGATATGAACTGATACCATACTTCTTTGACATTTTACCAAATATTCTTTGTGTTTCATTTAGGAACCATTATCAGATTGCAGTAGCTGGGAGAGGAATGCAAATGCTTGAGTTCTCTGAATCTTTTGATGTCAGTTGATGAACGCAGAAGAGTCAAGTTGGTATTTTGGTGATTTAATGGTTCACATGGCGAGGTGTTTTCTTTCCAGCAATCATGTTTTTACCGGCTGTTTTAGTAACAGTGGTTCTGCTATCATGAGTAAGAGTCTCACAGTTTTCACTCTGGTCTGCCATCTGCAAATTCTTGTTCTCTGAATTGCATAGCATGTGTAGAAGACCAGCTAGGTTGTGACAAGAATTGTAAACTCTTAGAGGACTATGATATGGTGATAGGTATCCTTTATATTTAGCGTTCATTTTTCTTTTGGGTCATTGATGCAAAACACAAAGTATGTTTAGCTCTGATTTATCCAGTTTTGCGGTTCGCATGAAAAATCTGGAGTTGTGAACTGTAATAAGAAAATAATAGATATGACAGTAAATTGTATAATCTAGCTTCAATGGATGTACAAGTTTTCAAGATCAAGTTAAAATTCCCCATTGATGCATTTTTTGAAGCTTAATTTTACATGCAAGTAGGTAGCTTAAAAATCATCTATTGTGCACACTGATTAGGTGTCCTTACTTCCCGGGCACGAAGTTGGTGGCATAAGCCCAAGCGTTGTTGGTAACAGGATCAGCCAGATGATCAGCAAGGTTCTCAATGGGGCCCTTTCCAGTGACAATGGCCTGCACAAAGAAGCCGAACATTGAGAACATGGCAAGCCTTCCATTCTTGAGTTCTTTGACCTTAAGCTCTGCAAATGCCTCTGGGTCATCTGCAAGTCCCAAAGGATCAAAGCTGCCTCCTGGGTACAGTGGGTCGGTGATCTCACCAAGGGGTCCTCCGGCAATTCGGTAACCCTCAACAGCACCCATGAGAACCACCTGGGTTGCCCAGATTGCTAGAATGCTCTGTGCATGAACTAGGCTTGGGTTTCCAAGGTAATCAAGGCCACCTTCGCTGAAGATTTGAGCTCCTGCTTTAAACCACACTGCTTCTCCAAACTTGACTCCGTTCCTGGAGAGGAGCTCCGGAAAAACACAGCCCAAAGCACCAAGCATTGCCCATCTTGAGTGAATGACTTCAAGTTCACGGTTCTTGGCAAAGGTTTCGGGGTCTGCTGATAGCCCAGCAGTGTCCCATCCGTAGTCACCAGGGAACTCTCCGGTTAGGTAAGATGGAGCCTCACCGGAAAATGGGCCTAGGTACTTGACACGATCAGGACCGTACCAGGGGCTCCCTGATGAGACAGCAGGCTTTTTCCCCGTCTTCCTCATAGAAACCCTACCATTTCCTTGGACAGCTGAGAACTCTGTCTGTGTGTTCAGAGGAATGGCCTTCCCAGTGAATGGGGATGAGAGAGCCATAGTTGCCATTGGGGATGAGAGAGAGAGAGAGAGAGAGAAGATGCTGATGAAATTGTTAGATGGTTTGAGTGTGCAGAATATGATGGTTCTGTTTTTATAGGGTGGTCCTGTGAGATCCAGAATCCTATCCAGAATCGATGTGTATCTTGATCCTTTTCCTGATTGGTTCAAAGGGGTGATGTAGTGATTTAAGCATCCAGCTCACCTTCCCATCCAATCAATCAAGGATACCATTGCAAATTGCAATCGGATTGTGTTCAAATTATTTTGGACTATTTCCCCAGAACAGATATTGAGTCACTCTCTAGTTCTCGTAGCCCCAAGTGTAGGACATCCCTTGTTACGAAAATTCTCGAGTATGCAATATACTGTATACATTGTTATATTTAACGACTGGTAGTGTGATCATGAATTTAACAAGTGGTGGCGATCCACGTAAAAGCGGATGTTACATTGTCGTATATAAATTACTATGTACTCTCCTTTGTTTTGGCAGTGCTTCGAAATTTCCTGGCTATTATATTAAAATAGAACTAATATAGTCTGGGATTTGATTTGGCTAACTTATTAACTATTAATGTTTGACAAATTGTATTTGCTTGCAAAAGTCATGCATGAAAAAAAATTCTCAGTTTCATCCTTGTCAAGACCTAGAGATTATTGAAAGCAATTCTTAGTTTCAACTATACATACTAGTGGATTTGGAGAAGACTAGTAACTCAGAAATTAAGTTTTGCACCACACTACAAGTGTACAACGATTATAAGAAACAAATTATAACATCCACCAAATTGAACCCCAAAATTCTTCTCTTGCTCGATTATGTTGTTCTAATGAAATAGGAAGTTCGAATAATCCCAAGTGTACGCAATTGACTTGTAGCTCATTTGGGTAAGAGTAGATGCTCTTGCATATGAAGTTTCGTGTTCGAATTTCCACCCCCGTGGTTTAAGTGAGTTTAGTATTATCTTATCATTTGTCAAGAAAAAAACCATGAGAATACCGTAAGGAGATTGGTACTAACTAAGAGCATCAAACTATTATTCTGATTTTATTATCAGCTAATGCAAACCATAACAAATCGCACACAAATGAAGTGTTAGAAAAGAATTTAAAATTTAAAAATACAGGTATATGCCGATCGGATTATCAAAAATTAATTGGATCATAGGAGCATGTGGCTATAGTTTCATTTAGCAACAAACAACCTTAAGAAAGCAAATGTTGTTTTCATGTTCCGTCATTTTCTCTCATTTGCCGTCTTGCAACACTCTATGCATACCTTGCCATGGCTTATGCTAAAGCAGTGAAATAGATATGAATCCTTTAAATGGTACAAGATTAAATCTTAGGTACAACACATTGGGCTGGCCCAACCCAACACAAGCACATCGGGTTAAAGTTAGGACAAACCTCAGACAACCCTGGTTCTTTGAAGCTTCACGCCTGGGTCCATTACCAAAGGGAAATTTCTACAGTAATCCCATGCTATCTTTCAGCATTTGTTTGTAAAATACTGGCTTCAATTACTCTTTGATGAATATTTTTTCTTTTGAGTCAATATAACTAGTTTTAATTACTATTTTCTAGAAGTCTTATTATGCAATCAACTTTGAAAGCATTACTGTCAATGGGAAAATCTTATCCATTTATCCAATAGCTTTTAGGGCATCAGTTGACCAAGCTACTTTTGTCGACACAGGAACCACGTTGGCATACTTTGTAGAAGAGGCATATGAACCTCTTGTTCGTGCGGTATGTTTGTTTCACTTTCTTTGATTCATTTGACTATAGCATTGGGATGACAAGAAAGTATATCCTTGCCATTGTAACATGTTCTTTTTCTACTTTTAAATGATCATTTCCTCTCATTCTTGAGTATGTGATTGTGTTGTAAGTCTACTTTTTCTTTGGAACTGATTTTGTGTTTGTTTGTTTGTGCAGATAACTTCAGCTTCCAATTATGTCTCTCATCATTTCAAGATAATCACAATGTTATCTAATTTACACCGAGTATCTCTTTCTTACACACATAGTCACTCGCTCTAGAACAAAAACTCACTAACATTATGTATGTCTATTTTATTGGTTACAGCTCGGTATTGCTATGTGATGCTTGAGTTTCAAGAAAGCTTAGGGAGCAAGCCGAGGCTTCACAGTGTTAGGAGGTTAGGCCTCCAACACTATCATTAATATTTTCAGCAAAATGTTATAGTTTACTTGCTCAATGTTTTTACTATTACTATACTTAAAACACTTGTTTTGTAACTTGGATTGCAGATCTTGTTATAAATGATAAGATTGTGGTATATGATTTATCCCATCAGAGACTAGAATGGGCTAACTACAATTGTAAGAGTAATTACCTACTCTTTCCTTCTTTTAATTTCCTTTCCATACAGACTACAGCACACCTTAGAGCTTACGTGAAAAAGTGCACTAGCCAAGTATCGTGTATACACCCTTGTCCCCAAACACATCCTCTACTAGTAACTCCTCTTTCATGTTGTTTATGTTTATGAAGGAACAATTAATAATGTTGATGCACAAAATCGGTGAAGACTTTGGAACAACGTAAATTGTCAAGTTTGTGACCTTCGCTCGGTTGCTCCGGTCATCTAGTGATGATAATGTGTAAAGAGGTAGAGATAGGGAAGCAAACAAAAGATGTACGTCGTTCGCCCTAAGTCTGGCTACGTCCACGGAGTAGAGGAGTTCTCATTAATAGTGAAGGGTTTACAAAAATACATAAGTTTAAGCATAATTATCATTAGTGGGTTCTAATGACTAGTTTAAGTACAATAATGACATTAGCCCCTCATTGTAGGAGAATGGTCTTCTTTTATAGTTGAGAAGAGTCTCCAGCTTTTGCTCGCGACCAATGTGGGACTCTATGAGCCTTATTCTGATGTTGACATGTGTCGTGCTATGATTGGCCTCCTGGTTGGAGGGAAACTCTTGTGCTTTGGCAAGGGTGTCTCAGCATGAACCCCTTAATAGGTCCCTGAAGGTATGACGTTGACTAGTGCTCGGTAGTTTCTGGATTGGTCAAGTATGGTACAAACAAATAAACTAATATAACTTTTAAGGTATAGGCTGAACCCATGATTAGGCTCGGCCCCCAAAAATAAAGTTGTTCTATTACATCCTAATTTTAGGCCAACTCTGCTCGTGTTGGGTCAGGCTAGCCTAACCTATTGTACTTAAGATTGAAGTTTACATCTATTTGAAGTAATTATTTGTTATGTTTATATTCATATATCTATGTGTACATTGTAATTGTATCATATGCAACACAACAAGGGAATTGTTATTGGCACTCCAAAATTCTCATTCTACCCTCCAAACTTTCTATATTTAGAAAAAAAAAATACACTTGTAAGGAGCGTAGAATGAGATTTTTGGAGTGCCAATAACACTTCCCCACAACAATTATACAAAATTATGGCCTCACCTCCCTTCTCCATTAGAATTAAAAAACAAGTCTTTATAGCCCAAAACTTTTAGGTCTATGACAGCACACAAGGCAAATACATGTCCTCTTTCAATGAAATTAATAGGTTTTATTATATAATATAATACATAAGTAGAGCTTTTAGGTACAATATGTTGGATTGGCCCGACCCAACACGAGCACAATGGGATTAAAGTTGGGATAACATATAACTTCATCTTTTTTAAAATGTGACAAGTGACAATTCTTTCTCTCTCCCTCTTCCTAAAAAACTTTGAGTGAATGACATTGTCTATATTTTTATATTTCAAGGTGGCCGAGGCATTTCCTCCGGTGAGTCTAAATTTTGCTGGTGGTCCATTTATATTTTTGAAACCGGAAGGCTACCTTCTATATAAGGGCTTTCATCAAGTATGTTTACCTCCAGGCTCTAGCTTATTTTGTAAAATATTTTCAAAGTGAATGAATATTGTTGGAAATGTATGAAATAAGTGTATTCTTTTATCACATTGGTTTTGCTATGTGGTGCTTTGGTATCAGAAAGTTTAAGGGAGTGAATCGTGGATTCACAGTTTTAGGAAGTTAGGCCTCGAAACACTATGTTATATATGTTTTTGTAAAGCTATTCCAAAAAAATTTAAGAGCATTTTTTTCATAGCTATTAGTCTTCTACCATAGTGTTTACTTAACGCCTCTATGCACTCGTGAAATGTTAGCTCCCTATATCATGTTATTGCATTTCAATTGCTATTGATGAGCTTTCCATTGCATCTATTCATTGCTAAATTCAATTTAATACATCGCTTCCTCACTGTTTGTCGTCTGGGCTTAAAGAGCTCCATTCCAATTCATTTAAGCTCAAGATTGCAGACTTGGCGACATTCCCCTCAAAGAGGTACAAATTTACATATTAGGTACAACATGTTGAACTAGCCTGAGTTAATGTAATAATTAGTTGGTAATTAGTATTGTCAAGCACTCATTTTATCCAATTAAACTTGAAACCGGTGTTGTCAATGTGCAAGATTTTCCCATTGATTTAGCCACATTTAGTCCATTACATGACCGAGCAACTATCATTGACATGGGAACCTTTTGAATTACAACACATCGAGCTGGCCTGATCCAACACTAGCATAGCAAGCTAAAGTTGGGACGATATATAGTTTTATCTTTCATTTTTACAATTTGCTACTCAAGTTCTTTGATTAAATATGTCAATTCATCTGTTCATGTTTTACATTTTCCGTTCAATTTATACGATCCTACCAACTCATTAATTGCACAGATGATGCCTTGTTCAGAAAAAATAAAAAATAAAACTTGGTTTAGGAACTGAATACTCCCATCAGAGTAACCAATGGAGCTAGAATCTAGAATATGCAAATGAAGATAGATAGTATGTTATTACATATCAAATGCATTGCATTGTGATATGATATGATACCGGTGTAATCTCATGTTGACTCTTCAACATTTGTGGTTTTCTGGTGTGCTATTTTAATTTTTTAATAATCAACATTAAGTAAGTAGAAAAAAGAAGAATGATGTAGAGGTTTTTCAGTTGGTTTCTTGTTCCATAAAAGTTTAATTAATATTGCATTGATGATCATACGTGTTAAAAACAG